CCCATCCCCCCAACTGTGTAGACAGGGAAACCAGGGCAGGTGAGCCTGGGACGCGTCAGCTGCGTCTGCCTCCGGACCTTGGAGCCCACGCTGCAGTGTGCCACCCAGCCCCTCACAAAGCAGCTGGAGGATGGGGGTGGCTCTGACCTCATCCTCAAGGGGAGCAGCCAGAGTAATGGCACAGGACCCGACATCACACATCCCACCTGTCGTAATTGGCCATGTTCCCTGGCCAAAGGCAGCTAATGCCATTATGTGGGCTGGTGGAGGCTGAAATCTGATTAGAGGAGCCCCTGCTGGCTGTGGCAGATGCTCAGAGCTGGGAGCCTGAGCTGCGGTGGGGTAGCCGGAACCCTGTACCCTGTTAGTGCTTCCAGGTCCCATCCCAGGCTTCAGGCAAGGCGGAAAGGGTGGGAGCATGGCCTGTGTCCGATGGGGCCTGTGAGGGCCTGGAGGAGGCACGTGCCCAGTGTCCTGGTGGGGTAACCCAGGATCATAGGTAGGACTTGGCCCACGGCCAGCTCTCTCTTACCCCAACCATGTGACCTAGCCTGAGTGACCTGTCTCTCAGCCTCAGTTTGACCACCTGCAGCACTGGCCTAAGAGTGCCTATCCTGAGGTGTTCTGTGAGGCTCCCGAGCTTGGGTCCTGGTGAAGGGCTCAGAGACCGTTTGCCACTGACGTGATCGTCAGTGCCATCATACTTGCATCTGCTTCCTCCAGACCTCTTGCCCCCCGAGATCTGCAGCCTCCTGAACCCAGCAGCCATCTACTCTAACAACGAGATCAGCCTACGTGACGTCGAGGTCTATGGCTTCGACTATGACTACACGCTGGCCCAGTATGCAGATGCGCTGCACCCCGAGATCTTCAACGCCGCACGTGACATCCTGATCGAGCACTACAAGGTGAGCCAGCCAGTGGGGGCCCAGCCCTGGAAGCCTGCAGGCCGAGGTTGGCCTAGCCCAGCTGAGTCATAGGGCCCCTGGGCAGTGGCTACTCAGCCAGCTGGCCTGGCAGTGCCTCTGGCTCAGGCCTGGCCCGCTCTTCCCCACAGTACCCGGAGGGGATTCGGAGGTATGACTACAACCCCAGCTTTGCCATCCGTGGCCTCCACTACGACATTCAGAAGGTGAGTAGCCACGCCGAGACCTCTTCCAGGCCCCTCCAGACCAGCAGCCTAGTGGGGCTGCTTCCTTAGCCCCTGTCCCTTTGGGAGTCTCATCTGTCTCCCCACTTGGCCTCAAAGCTGTAGCTCCCTCCCAGCTTGGGCTTCAGTGGTGGCCTGGGAGAGGCTGGCTCAGGGGCCTGCTCCTTCCTCCCCACCCACCCTGCTCCCCTGGTGCCCCCAGAGTCTCCTGATGAAGATCGATGCCTTCCACTACGTGCAGCTGGGTACGGCCTACAGGTTAGTGCTAGCGCTGCCCTGCCTCCGCCCCCGTGTGCCACTTGGCTCAGGACCACTTTGGACTGGTGGTGTCTGTGCACCCCCAGGGGCCTCCAGCCTGTGCCAGATGAAGAGGTGATTGACCTGTATGGGGGCACCCAGCACATCCCTCTGTACCAGATGAGCGACTTCTATGGCAAGGTACTTGCCCCATCTACCACCGCCCAGGGCAGCTGGCTCAGCGACCAGCTATGGGTGCTGGCCCCCTGGGAGGCAGTGTCTACACCCTGGTGGGCCAGCCATGACCCACAGCCTACCAGTGTCCCCAGACTTGGAGCCCTGGGTTTTCAGAGCTGGGCTTGGGGGCTGACATGCTTGCTGAGGAGGTAAGCTGCCTCCGCAGGGTCCCTCCATCAAGCAGTTCATGGACATCTTCTCGCTGCCGGAGATGGCACTGCTCTCCTGTGTGGTAGACCACTTCCTAGGCCACGGCCTGGAGTTCGACCAAGCGCACCTCTACAAGGATGTGACGGTGAAGGCGTGGGGCCTGCCTCTCAGGGCGCGGGGAAGGGGAAGTCCAGCCGCAAGGGCAGCCCTCCTGGGTCCCACTGTCCTCACTGTCCCTCCACTGCCCCCAGGATGCCATCCGGGATGTGCACGTGAAGGGCCTCATGTACCAGTGGATCGAACGGGACATGGGTAAGGGTGTGCAGCAGCCCCATGCGGCCTCCCTGGGCAGGAAGAGGGCTGGTCTCACAGGACCCATCTCCCGGCAGAGAAGTATATCCTGAGAGGGGAGGAGACATTCGCTGTCCTGAACCGCCTGGTGGCCCATGGGAAGCAGCTGTTCCTCATCACCAACAGCCCCTTCAGTTTCGTGTGAGCTCCGCCCCGCTGTGGGGAGAGGGCTGGCTGGGGGCGTGGCTGGAGCCTCCTCAGGCCACCTGCCGCCTGTCCCATCTCTGCCCAGGGATAAGGGGATGCGGCACATGGTGGGTCCTGACTGGCGCCAGCTCTTCGCCGTGGTCATTGTCCAGGCAGACAAGCCCAGCTTCTTCACTGACCGGCGCAAGTACGGGCCTGGAGGGGCGATATGCTGGAGCAGGGGTGGCCTTTGCTCACTGCCCTGTGTGCTCGGGATGGGGACAGCCCCCTTGCTAGTGTGGCCCCTGTAGGCAGGTGGGCCTTTGAGGGCACGGAGGTGCCTAGCCCATGGTCCTGCCCCAGATTAAATCAAGCCTTTGCCCCCAATCCCAGACCTTTCAGAAAACTCGATGAGAAGGGCTCACTCCAATGGGACCGTATCACCTGCCTGGAAAAGGGCAAGATTTACCGGCAGGTAAGGGCCATCCAGGTGGGAATAGCCCTCGCAGGGACACTGCATCCTGGGCCCTGACCAGCCAACTGCCCTGGTCCTGGATGTAGGCGATGGTTCTCAGGGCCCAGGCCTGGTTAGCATTGAGGGTTCTGGGTCAGGCTGAGTGTGTGGTTCCAGCTCTGCTGCTGGGTAGCACAGGGGCCGGCCCAGTCCCTTGGCCTCCCTGTACCTGGCCTCCCTCACCTGGGAGAAATCTGTAATACTCGAATCGTGCAGTGAGGCCAGGGTGGGCTGGGTGTCACTGAGTGCCCAATACACAGCACCGTCTTACTACTTGGGGCTGAGCATTTTGCTGCAGCCAACAAGCCTTGGGGGGTCCTGAGCTGGCCTGCTGGGGGAGGCTCACAGGCCGTGGTAAGACCCCCTTTTCTGGCTGGCTAGGACAGATGAGAAGGGGCCTAGGGCTGGGCAGGAGATGAAGCATTTGGGCCTGGATGGAATGCAGAAATCCTGCAGGGGGGTAGGTTCCAGGGGTTAGAGGAGGATGGCCCAGGGGTGTGACGGAAGGACGGCCTCGGGGGTGCCCAGCACTGTGGCCTGGCCTGCAGGCGGCATTCCCAGCCCTGCCGCGGCCCGGCCCCCTTGGGCACGGGGTCTCCCCTGTTCTCCTTTGTCTTGGCATCTTGGCTGAGCCCAAGGAGGGTCATGTACTTTTGTGGGAAACAAGTGACTTTTTCCCCTCAGCAGCTTTTAGATGTTTTTGGGGCTTGATCTGAGATTGTTCTTTGGGGGCAGGATGGGGCTTGGGGGCGCTCCTCCTTGGGGCTCTTCTCCTTGTTCCCTCCCGCTCTGTCTCTTGTCCTGGCACCTCCAGGTTCTTCCCCTGGGCCCAGGGCACAGCCTTGGCATCTCACAGAGGCCCTGCTCCCCCTGTGTCCCACGCTTCTATCTCCCGGGGCCTCTCCCATCCTAGTGACTCCTCTTTGCTAGGTGTAAACTCTTCTCCCTCCTGGGGGGTGCATTCCTGGCTCAGGGAAGTTTTTGGTCCCCTGTGAGCTTCCTCTGTAGTGTTTTTCATCTTTTCTCTGGCTTAGGAGCAGATGCCTCACAGCGAGGGCTGCCCTTGGGCTGCTGGGTCCCTCTGGGCTCAGGCAGGGGAGGCCAGAAAGGTCTTCGGGGCCTGTGCGCCTCCGGCTGTGGGGGGGGTCACTGCTGCAGTTTGTTTCCCACAGAATGGACGCAGTCCCTAGTCCGGGGTGGGTGGCAGGCTGGCCCCCTTCCTGGGTATGAGGGGGACGTGGCCAGAGCCCAGAGGCGACAGCGAGGCCACGGGAAAGGGCAGCCCAGCATCCGGTCAGAGGGGCCTTGCTCCCCCTGGGGATCAGGGAGGGCTGGTGGAGGACAAGGCTTGCCGGCAGCCCCCCCGGGATACCCCTTGGCATGCTGGCCTCAGCGGTATGTCCCCCAACCTGCCAGGGAAACCTGTTTGACTTCCTGCGCCTGACAGAATGGCGCGGCCCCCGCGTGCTCTATTTTGGAGACCATCTCTACAGCGACCTGGCAGTAAGTGCGGCCGGGCCCAGGGGAGGGGAGGGGAAGGCGCCCTCCTCGCTGGTGCTGAGCCACCCTGCCCCCAGGACCTCATGCTGCGGCATGGCTGGCGCACGGGTGCCATCATCCCAGAGCTGGAGCGGGAGATCCGCATCATCAACACAGAGCAGTACATGCACTCCCTGACCTGGCAGCAGGCGCTCACTGGGCTGCTGGAGCGCATGCAGGTGCGGGCGGGGCGCGGCGGGGCTGCTGGAGCGCATGCCGGTGAGGGCGGGGCGGGGCCGGGGCGGGGCTGCTGGAGCGCATGCACGTGCGGGCAGGGGCGGGGCCGCCTGCTCACGCCCAGCGCTTCCCCTGTCTGCCCCAGACCCACCAGGACTCTGAGTCGCGGCAGGTGCTGGCTGCCTGGATGAAGGAGCGGCAGGAGCTGAGGTGAGTGGGGCGGCCTGGGGTGGGGGTACCGGCCAGGCCCTTCTGCGCCCCTTCGAGCGCCCCATCTCCCCAGGTGCGTCACCAAGGCCTTGTTCAACGCTCAGTTCGGGAGCATCTTCCGCACCTTCCACAACCCCACCTACTTCTCCCGACGCCTCGTGCGCTTCTCCGACCTCTACATGGCCTCGCTCAGCTGCCTACTCAACTACAGCATGGACTTCACCTTCTACCCACGCCGCACACCCCTGCAGCACGAGGCGCCGCTCTGGATGGACCAGCTGTGCACGGGCTGCATGAAGACGCCCTTCCTCGGTGACATGGCCCACATCCGCTGAGGGCACCTTTATTGTCAGGACGAGCACAGCCTCCGCGCCCGCCAGTGTGGGTGGGCAATAAAGTCTCCCCTGCTCACGCCTCCGCTCTGCTCCAGGGTCACTTGACCGCAAGGATCCTCTGGGTGTCGGGGAAGTCCCCCAGCAGGGAGTCCTGGGAGGAGGGCCGGTTGTGGCGGGACCGAGACCACACCCTGGACCCCCTCCTACACCCCTCGCCCCCCACACTCACATCAAAGGGCTCACAAAAGTCATCGTGGGTGCCAAAGACGGGGTTGGGGACGGAGACCAGCGTGGGGCTGGTCCCTTCCTGCCACGGGGAGAAGTCGTCGTCAGCAACATCTTCCACCTGAGGGGAGCGGAAAGCAGTGAGGGACCTTGAGCCAGATCCGGGGACCCGGACCCCCCCACGCCCCTCGCCCCCTGCCCTACCTGGAAGGCCGCGAAGCCGAAGCCTGTGGCCTTGCCTCGGGCACGGAGATAGAGGGCTCCAGCCGCCAAGCTGAGCAGTGCGCCAGCAGCCACCACGGCCCCCACCCCTGCTGCCATGGCTGGAGACTCCAGTGCCACCACCGCCCGCTGCAAACGGACGGCATCAAGGACCTGGCCAAAACTGTCCCCTTGTACCCAGCAGCTCTGCCAGCACCCCCTGCCCCCAACTCACAGGCTGTAGGGGTGCCAGGAGGGGGCTGGCCAGAGCATGGATGATGCCATTGGAGGCCATGATGTCCCACACAATGACATGGCTGACCGCAACTGCCCCTGGGACCTGTAGGGAGACCAGAGTCAGGCCCGGTGAGAGTGAGGGCGCAGGCACAGGAGAGGGCAGCAGCCAGACTCACCGCAGGGGCCCCAGAACTGTTGTCATGGCCCACGTCACTGATGATAAGGCGGAGGCCCGAGTGGGCAGGCAGCAAGGTACCCTGGCTGGCGTTAGTGCTGAGGAAAGTGGCACTGGAGGCGTGCAGCTCCAGGTCTGGGCCACTTAGCGTCTGCAGGTAAAGCAGGGGCTGCTGGCCTGGGCCACCAGAGCGTGCAGGGTCCGCCCCGCCCTTCCATGTCCCTCGCTGGTTACCATGTTGTCCACAAAGCCTTCGTTGACGGGGACAAAGAGTGTCTTGTAGGTGAGCTCATCGTCCAGGAAGTCCAGGAAGTCGAGACCCCGTGGGGTGGCGTTGGCGTAGTGCAGCAGCATCTGGGAGGGTGAGGAGACAAGGCTGTGGGCAGGTGCTCCCCGGGGCCTCCCACCCCGGGCCCGGGCCCCTGCACACCCCGTAAAAGGTAGAGAAGTCGGCGGTGGCAGCCAGCACATCAAGCAGTTTTCCGTTGCACACGCTGGTCCCGTCACCCACGAAGCCACGTCTGCACTGGCAGGCCACATCTGCGGGGAAGGCGACGGTGGGTGGCAGGTTGGCGGGAAGGCACACGGCCAGGGGGTGGGGGACACACCTTGCTCGCGGTAGCAGTAGGCATCCCAGCGCTCTGACAGGTCCTGCTGCACACCCAGGCTGATGATGCCCACCCGCCCATCGCCACAGCCTGGCGCAGGGAAGACGATGGGGTACGCAGCTGAGCCGTCGGCCAGCCAGCCCACGAGGCACAGATGGAAGCCCAGCTGTAGGGGCGGGAGTGGCTGCTGAGCCCCGAGGCCCCATTCAAGGGGCCCGCAGCCCCCCCACGGCTCCCAGCTCAAGGGCCCGTGCACCTGCTGGGCAGCAGAGAGCTGAGAGAGAGAAGCGAGGACGGCTCCCTGGGCCCCACACGCAGCCCGGGCCTCGGAGAAGTTGAGGCTGTAGCGGGCACCGGCAGCCTGGACGTGGAAGACACCAGCCCGCTTCTCTGCGAAGGGAAGGAGGCGGTCAGCTGCGGGCGGGGAAGAGAGGCAGGGGCTGGGGGAGGGCTGGGGGCAGACGAAGTACCCTGGAAGTGCAGGTCAGTGCACACAGCGTCCACGTGGCAGGGGCGGGGTCGACCCAAGCAGCGGTCCACGGGCGGCTCGGGCTCCTCCACACACTGCAGCCCGTCCCCCACATAGCCGGTGCGGCACGCACAGCGCCGAGTGTTCTGGGGGGTGGGGGGCCGCGGGTGCTCTTTAGGCGCCGGTGCCACTCGGACCGACACACACCCCCAGCCCCAGGCAGGCCGCCGGCTCACCGGTCCGGTGCTCAGGCAGTCCGCGTGCTCGCTGCAGCCCCCGCGGTAGCCGTCTGCGCAGGCGTCACGGGCCCGGCAACTCCAGCCGTCGCCCTCGTAGTCGGGCAGGCACGCGCAGATGACCGCCGTACCTATCTGGCTGCAGTTGGCATGCTCGCTGCAACCTCCACGCCCGTCCTGACACAGGTCCGCCACTGGGGGCAGGGCAAGTGGTTGGGGTCAGGCGACAGGAGGGGCACGGCGCACCTCCCCTCCCCCACCAGCTGCTTGCTCACCTGTGCACGTGCGGCCGTCCCCTTCGTAGCCCAGGCTGCACTCGCAGCTGTTACCCGCTCGGCACACGGCCTGGGGCGCGCAGGCGGGGGAGCACACGGGCTGCAGCTCTGCCCCAGGGCCCACCCACCGGCCATGAGTAGGAGCCTCCTGGCTGCCCGCCTCTCCTCCCACCTGCCCCCCCCACCCCGTGCCTCCCCCAGTGCGCAGCCGTGAGTGCGGTGGTGTGTGCACGTGCGGGCAGGCACAAGCCCGAGGGCCACTCACCAAGCTGCACCTCGCAGCGTGGCCCAGTCCAGCCCTCCTCACAGAAGCAGGAGCCAGAGCCCCCAAGGCCCTGGTCACAGTGGCCATGCACAGTGCAGCGGCAGGCTGGGGAGAGAGGCCAGGGATGTGGAGGTGGCACGTGGGCAGCGGGAATCAGGGAGCAGGGTAGGACGAGACAGCCTACCTTGGCAGTGGGGCCCAAAGGCACCCGGGGCGCAGAGTTCACATGCTGAGCCAGCAAACCCCGAAAGACACCGACACTGCCCGCTGCCACTCATGCCGTCCACACACATGCCATGGCCACTGCAGGGGCTGCTGGCACCGCCAGGGCAAGCTAGTGGAGGGATCAGGGAGTGGGGCGGGAAGGCGGGATGGGTCGGCAACAGCGGCCCAACCCAGTCGCACCAGCTGTGTTTCAGCCAGTGGCCGCCAGGCCTTTTCGCCAAGTGCAGTCTGTCCAGGCCCCCTGCTGCTGAGACCCCTCCAGACTCCCCAGTATGCCACCCACACACCGACCCTGCCTCTTCAGGCATTCTGGCCTGGGAAAATCCACTCACCCCAAGATCCGCCCCAGGCCATGACCACCCCAAGAACCTTTCTTGAGAACAATGGCCACAGTTGTGCCCTTGGCAGTCCGGGCGCCAGAGGAGCCACCAGTGGCACATGCAGCCTCAGGACACTCACCCCGGCACTCACTGCCATAGTGACCAGGGCAGCAGCCGGGCTTCCAGGTGCTGCTGACACAGTTGCGCTGGCAGCCCCTGCCCAAGCCAGGCTGGGCCCAAACACCACGCAGTGCCACAGAGGACAGTGCAGGGGATGTCCAGAACTTTGAGTAGCGCCAGCAGGCCTTGGGGCTGCCCTGGACCAAGAGGAGTCAGGTTGTACGCAGCCTGAGCTTGGTAGTCCCCAGGCCCCTGCCCAAAGCCCCAACCAGCTCCCAGCCCAACCAGCTCCCAGCCTCTTACCTGCTCCTGTGAGCCCTCAGGACAGGGTGGTTCCAGCCCACAGATGCTGCACAGCTTCTGGAAGAAATGAGGCCATATAGCAAGGGCAGGTGGATGGACAGGATAGGTGGGCTTGGGCCCTGCCCATCTACCTCTGGCCCATGGCCTCTCTCACCAGTTGAAGCAGCCGAGCCTCAAAGGTGTCACAGCGGGCACCCAGGCCAGGTGGCTCTAGCAGCTGGTCTATGCCATAGGCCAGGCCACCCTCAAAGGGCAGGTGCCGCTGCACAACGCGGGCACCATCTTCACCCACCGTTAGCTCACCCTGCAGGTAGACAGTACGGCAGTGAACAGGGTCACAGATGCACTGCAGCCCCCACTGCCAGGACCCTTGCCTCCTGCTTCCCTCATTCAAGCCTCCTCCACAGACTCACCGGCCGGGCACGGCTGCAGGAGAACGAGACAGAGTTCCCATGCATGGTGTGCAGTGGGCCCAGGTTGGGCAGGTCAGATGCCAAGGCCTGTGCAGATGAGCAGCAGTTAGAGCTGGGCAGGCAGGCTGGGCACCCACAGTGGGCACCAAGGCCCAGGGTCCACCCACCTCGGTGTTGCGGATCACATGGCCCCGCAGAATGGCTGCCAGCTTGTCACGGTGGTCCTCGTGGTAGAGCCAGGCCTGGCGCTCGGGCGGCAGGGCCTGCAGGGCAGAGTCTGTGGGCCACAGCATCGTGAAGGGCCTGTGGGACGCGTCTTGAAGCAGAGGCAGGAGACCAGCCGCCTGCAGGGCGGAGATGGGACAGTCACTGCCGGTCCGAGACCCGAGGCAGAGGGCGGGAACTGGGCTTCAGAAACTAGGGAGGGGCTCCAGGCACACCAGCCACTCGGTAGCCATCCCAGCAGACCTGTGTGGACACGTGCAGGGATAAACCCGTGTGCCCCTGGCTGTCCACGAGTGTGTGAGCGACACAAGCACCCCACGTGCTCACCCTGGGGGTTCCCACCTGACCCGCCCGGGCTGGGGGCAGTACCCTCACAAGGCGGCTGAAGCTCTTGTAGCCAAAGCTCTCGGCTGCAGCGGTGACGTTTCTCTGGGGAAAGGTGCTGGTGAGCAGGGGGGTCAGGCCCTGCCCCGCTGCCCGGGCCCCAGGCCCGCGCCCAGGGCATACCCGGGGAGCGGGGGCCGCGCCAGGCTCCCAGTGCAGTGCGTCGGGTGGCAGCAGGACCCTGTCGATGAAGTGCAGGACGCCGTTCACCGCCTCGTGGTCGCTGCTCACCACGCGCGCGTAATCATTGATGTAAATGCTGCCCTGGGGAAGGGGCAGACGGGGCGGGATAGTGAGGGGCGGTGTCCGGTCCCGCCTCGCATTGGACAGGTGGGCGGGGCCAAGGCGCGAGGGTTCCCTCCCCGGGAGCCCGGGCAGCTGCACCGTGGGGGGAGGCGAGTCGCCAGCAGCGACGGCAGACGGGGTGCGCGGGGCGCAGGGGCGCCGGGTAGGGCCCGAGCGCGGCGAAGGCCCGCGGCGGGCGGGCGGCTCACCTCCCTCTCGCTGAAGCGCAGCGACTGCCCGGACAGCGCGGTGGCATAGCCCTCCTCCAGCAGCTCCTGGCTGCGCAGCTGCAGGCAGCCCACCACGTGGTAGCGGAACACGAGCTGGCGATGGGCGCGGATCCGGGCCAGCTCCTCCTGCGGCGGGAGTTGGCGCGGCAGCCGGGGGTCGTGACCGCCCTGCCCCCCACCCCGGTGGCTGCCTTACCCGCGACAGATTCGTCATTAGGTCCGCGTGCGGCACGAAGACTGTGAAAGGCCCCTTGCCCTTGAGCTCCTTGTATTCCTGCGGGAGGGGAAGGCAGCTTTGGGGCGACTTAAGACCCTGCCAAGGCTTAACGGGTCTTCCCGGAAACACTGGGGCTCTGGGACCAGACCAGCCAAGCGCTGACCAAATGAGACGGGAAGGCTGAGACAGGTGGGACTGCAGGTCAGGGAGGCCCAGGCTGGACAGAGGGGCGGACGCCCGCTGGTCACTCACCAGGAGGTGGAGGCTGAAGAATGAGGCGTGCCTGTCCCGAAGGAGCTCCTGAGGGGGCGAGGGTCAGCTCAGATATTGGGTGGCCCCCATTCAGGGCCTGGTGCCTGTCCCAGCACCTGTGGCCCAAGGTCTGGCCAAGGTAGAGATGAGGAAAGGAAAGCCAGGGGTATCTGAGCTGGGGTCAGGGTGAGGTTCATGGATCATAGCTGGGTCAGGCCCAGGCAGTCAGGGGTCACACTCAGGGTCAGTGCCGGGATGGGGATCAAATCTGGGGGTCTTAACCAATCTCTTGGGTGAGGCTGGGGGCAGGCATGCCATGGTTGGGTCCAGGGTCCAACTTGGGCATCATTACCAGGCCGACTCGGGCTCGGCAGGTGAAGCCGTCGCCCACGGTGTGGGCTGCGTCACAGATGCAGGTCCGCTGGCCAGGTCCCGTACTTTTGCACATGGCGTAGGGGCTGCAGCCTCCGTTACTCTGAGGCAGGGGCAGGAAAGAGGCATCACTGGCTCCCAAGACTTCTCTGCCCCAACCAGCCCTAGGGAACGGTCCATGGAGGTCTCTGTCTAACCCTCAAAGCCCTGTTTCCTACTTTGGGGGAAGTCAGACGAGCTTGTGGGGAGGGTGACTCATGCCTCAGAGGCCCTTGGGACCCTTCTTGGGAGGAAGGGGGCTACTTCCTGCCTCCACCCCCCCCACCGTGAGATGGGGTAAGGCTGGGGGCCTGACCTGGGAGCAGGGGTCCAGAGGCTCGCAGGTCCGGATGCCGTCCCCACTGTAACCTTCTCGGCAGCTGCAGGAGACCTGTCCCAAATGCTGATCTATGCGGCTGCTAGGACCCAAGAGCGGGCCAGTGCCAGCCCAAAGGAGTGCCCCCTCCCCACCAATGGGAGGACAGCACAGCCCATGTCCAGGCCTGGGTACTGACCTGCTGGGGGCCTGTGGGAATACATACAGCATGTATGTGGCAGCCCCCGTGGTAGGTGAGACAGCTGTTGATTTCTAGGGGAAGAGACCCCAGGGTGAGGAATGGCCCCTCCACGTGTCCTTCTGGGCTCATCCCCACCTTCGCAGTGCCCCTTCGGCATTTCAAGTCGGCCTAAGGTCACTGAAGCCAGACTCCTAGCCCCACACACCCCGAGGCTGGTGACCCCAGCCTCACCCTGGCACAGCTCCCCGTCGCCCGCATAGCCATCCTGGCAGGTGCATGTCCGCTGCCCAGGTGCCACCTTGGTGCAGTTGGCATGAGGGGAGCAGCCCCCGTGGTCACGGGCACAGGGGTCCACCTCTAGGGGAAGATGATCCCAGAGAGCTGTGAGGAGCAGCAGAGGGAAAGGACAAGGCCAGAGGGAGGGGTATGACCCGAGAAGGGACAGGAACAGAGACTGGACTCGGGGGAGGGGAGCAGGGGCGGGGCGGCAGGGGGCACTGGACCTGAGCAGTGGACGCCATCACCCGAGTACCCGGCGGCACAGACGCAGGCAGGGGTGGCAGATGCCAAGTTCTGTGCACAGCTGTGGGGGGACAGCAGCTCAGCCCGTGCTGCCCCTGGCCCCACCCTGCCCTCCTGCCCCAGGCTGAGCTCACTCACTTGGCATTGGGGTCACACCTCTCTGGGCACTGAGGGCCAGTGATTTCTGGGGGAGTAGGAAGGTGGTTCTGGTTTGGACCCAGGAACTGCCTTCTCAGAAGCCACCCACCTCTGCCCCTTGGGAACACTCACTCTGGTCACAGCGAAGGCCCTGCCAGCCCACGTTACAGACACAGCTGCCGTCCCCTCGCAGCCCCTCCTGGCACAGCCCGTGCTCACACTCACACACTGAGAGTGGGATAAGGGAGGACAGGAGGAGTTGCTTGGTGCCCCCTTCCTCCCCTGTGGGCATCCTCTGCCAGGATCCCACCATGGACACCCACCCCTCCCAGTCCTCACCTCCAGCACAGCTGGGCCCATAGCGGCCCAGCTCACACGTCTCACAGGCGGTCCCATGGAAGCCCTCGTGACAGCGGCACTCCCCACTGCCCAGGAGCCTGTCCTGGCACTGCCCGTGGCCCGAGCACACACCACCCAGGCCTCCCGGGCACGGCTCACACAGTGCACCAAAGTAGCCGGGGCAGCAGTCAGGCACCTGCCGGGAGGGGTGCAAGGAAGGGCCCAGCACAGGCCGGGTCGGATGAAGTAGGGAGATGTCAGTGGGGCAGGAGGGCACCTCAGGGGCCACAGAGCCACAGAGCAAAGCCAGCTGGATGCATGGAGATGGAGACCACCTTCTACAACCCTCCCCATGGCAGGGGTGAGTAGGGAAGGGCTGTGCCCTAGGCATGGATGATGGTGTCGGCTCCCCTGAGCCCCTTTCTCCCTCGCCCCAAAGCTACTCCCTAGGGGCACAGCCCCAGCGACAAACCCTGGCCCCTCTGACCCCAGACATCTCTCCCTCCCCTTTGCTTCCCATTCCTCTGGGCCCTGGCTTCATGGGCCTCACCCTGGGCCCGGCCCTGCCTCTGATCCGGGCTCCTCCCTGGGCCCCAGTGCTACCTCCTCCTCTCAAAGCTGTGCGGGGTGGGCAGGGGTGCTTCACAGCAAACCTGGATCTTCTTGGCACACGTGTAAGAGCAGCCCCGAGAGAAGGAGTAACCGGAGCGGTAGACACAACTCTTCTTGGGGGTGTCCTGGGGACAGACAGCAGGAGGGCTCAGCCAGCGGCCAAGGGCAGGGCAGGGCAGTGAATGGGGGGGAACAAACGGCAGGTGTCCACGGGTGAGACACAGGACAGCAGAGGGCCAGGGAGGGGCCCAGACAGACAGGCCTGACTGAGAAAGGGTGGGCAGGATGCAGGCCTGGGCACGGGGTCTCGGGCCTCAGGCCACCAGTCTGGGGAGGCCTCCCGCCTCTACCAGGGAAGCTGACGGCCCACCCCGTCCGCTCCCCAGGCCTGGGTGAGCAGAGCTGGGCCTGCGGCTGGCACACACTGAGAGAGCCCCGCCTCACCTGCAGCTGGAAGCCCTGAGCACAGCGGAACTTCCGGGTGCAGTTTACACATTTCTCCTGGGGGAGAGAAGGCAGAGCGTCAGGGGTCCTCGGGTGGGGCCCCCAACCCCACCTCCCTCCAAGGCAGGCTGACAGCTCTCCACCCCTGACCAAAGACTCCTCGCCTCCAGTAGACCGGCCAGTCAGCACCTCCCAGCCTGGAACTCCCCAGCTGTGCCCCCAACCCAGCCCCGGCCTCTCACCCGCAGGGCCTCCGCGTGGCTGTGCAGGCAGCGACTTGAACCCACCGTCAGGACCCCCGACAGACCGAAGAGTGAGCCCCCAGGAGCCTCCAGCACGGGGCCTTCCAGCAGCACGTGGTTCACCTCAGGCTGTGGGGGGGAGCAGGAGGCTGAGCCCACCTCCATCCTCACCGCGGGGGCCGCAGGCCGCAGAGGCACTCCAGCAGGACAGGGGACTCCCAGGATGGGCGGTCCCTGGAGCAGAGGTTGGGGGCGCCCAGGTGGGGGAACTCCTCAGAGAAGGGGTCTTCAAGAGCAGAACACCCAGGCTAGGTGGCCCCTGCAAACCTGGCCACTGTGGTTGTAGAAGACGAGCCAGTGGGCAGGGCCCAGGAGGGAGTGGCGGTGGCCTCCCCTCTGCACGGCTTCCGCAGAGAGCGCCTCCCCCAGGACCACATGGTGTCGTACTGTGTCTGTGTCCTGGCAGAGGGGGAGAGGCTCAGGGGTCTTCAGGACCACCAGGTGCCCCAGACAACTGCCCACTGTGTGCCCTGGCCTCCCTCCTCGGGTGCTCACATCCCAGTGACCTCACCAGGCTGCTGCTGTTGCTCCGGGCCTCCAGAGAGCGGTTTGTGGGCACAAAGATGGTGTAGGCGGTGGCAGCCTCAATCTGGGGCACCAGCCCGTGGAGCTAGGGGCAGTGAGCAGGGGCAAGAGGCAAGGATGGGCCTAAGTGCCCTCAGTCCTGAGCCCAGAGCCAGTCAGCTCCCTGTGTCCCTGGGGGAGGGCGCCCCTGACCAGGCACTGCCCACCCCTCTTGCCCTTACCTGGAGCAGGTCCCGGAAGAGGCGGAAGGCAGGCACGGAGTCCAGCAGCTGCAGCAAGCCCCGCCCCCCCAGAACAGCCTCTCGAGGAGGCAGTAAGACCTGGCCCAGAGCATGGGGGCTGGTCAGTAAGCCAAGTTCCCCCACCCATGGGAGGCCCCTGCCCACCGCCCCACCGCCCCCTCCACCACACCTGGCTGAGGACGTGCAGGACGCCATTGGTGGCGAGGAGGTCAGCCACATCCACGCTGGCGTTCTGCACCCAGACCCTCTGGAAGGCAGTGGGCAGAGCTCAGCCACAGGTGGGCTCAAGTGGACACTTAAGGGGGTGTGGAGGCTGCCGGGCACACGGGCACCCACTGGTGGCCCCCAGCCTGGCCCAGACACTCTGATTCAGGACCTACAAGATGGCACCAGAGCCTCACCAGGGCCCATGTAAGGGACAAGTGTACCCATTCACAGACAACCCCTGGAAGGGCGGTCACTGCTGGCCCGAAGACACTGCCCAGGAGCAGACGTATTCTGAGTACCCACCCTGGGCCCAGCCCTGGGCCAGGAAGGGGACTCCAATCTTACCCCTGAGAGGTCCCGCTCCGGGAAGCCTGTAGCCACTCAAGTTCCCTCCCAAAGCCTACACGGTCCCCTCTTCTGCCCAGAGTTCCCTACGTACCCCACTGATGTTATGAATCTCCCAACGTACGGTGGGGCTCAGGGTAGCCACTTCCTGCCCACCCAGCCGGGCCAGCTCCTCCTCGGAGAGGGCGCCTTGGAGAAAGTGGGCTCTGACGGGACATGGAACCAAGTTACTGTGGCCTTCAGAGACCCCCGGGACTGGGCTGCACGACACCCCCAAGGGATGGACGCACGCCAGGCTGAGAACCTCTGGGAGGGGGCCAGGCCTCACACAGAAGCCATCTCCCAGGGCCCTGCCCTGGCTGCCCACCTGACCAGCTGTGGCAGCATCTTCGGCCGCAGCCAGAAGGCCTGGTCATCAGGGCTCAGCTTGCGGATGGCGGACTCAGAGGGCACCAGGGCTGTGACTCGGCTGCCGGCAGGAAGAGTGACACCAGCACCCTGGAGGTAGTGCACAGAGGGACAGGAGGGTGGTGACAGCAGCCACCGTCCGACCGCCTGCTCCCAGCTCCAGGCCTGCCCTCCTCCAGCTCTCAGACATGGTACACAGCACCCCTGCATCCAGGGGGCCTCCTGGGTCTGAGCCCCAGCCTGCGTTCTGCCTTGTCCTACCTTGATCCACTTGTAGAAGACGGAGAAGTGGGCATGTGCCTCCAGCTCCTAAGGAGAGGCAAGAACCCGTCACCGGTGAGAGGACAGACCCAGGCCCCTCCCCCAGGATGCTGAGCGCAGCTCCCTCTACCTGAGGCAAACAAGAGGCCCCTTCCCCAACACGGGACCAGCTGCCCACCTGGAAGACGTCTCCGTAGCAGCTGAAGCCATCACCCCCATAGCCAGGAGGGCATGTGCAGACCCGCTGACCTCCCCCCACCACCTGGCAGGTAGCCTGGGATGGGGTGGGGCAGAGACATGGCCCTTCATTATTTGGTGCCCACCCGGAGAGCTGGACCGCACCTGTTCACCCTGGCCACCTACTCTGCCATCTCCTGTCCAGCTACCCAGCCCCGCCTGTCTCTCCATCCTTCTAGTCTGCACTCATGTTGCTCCTCTGGCACAATGTGTACCAGGTCACTGGGCATTTGGCAGAAGTTCCCCCACCCATGATACGTGGGGGGAAGCCCAGGGCTGGGGGTGCGCCCAGGAGGCCCCGGGCTCCCAGGGGAGGCCTGCGTTGAGAGCGGAGGGAGCTGGCAGGCCACAGGTGGCACGAGGCGGCCTTCTAGAATCCAGGGGCAGAGGTGCGGTGGCAGAGCACTGAGGTCACGGGACAAGGAGCTCAGAAAGGCCAGAAGAGCATGGAACGGGGCGCGGGGGGTGGGCAAGGGAGGAAACAGGGGACCAGGCAGGGGCAGGGTCTTAGTAAGAGGGGGAGAAGCTCTATCCTGCGGGCATGTGACTAGCTGGGTTTGCACGTGGGGTTTAGAAAGATTCCCATCCTGACCAGAGACAGGGACACCCAGAGAGAGCACAGGCTGTGGCCAAGGCCCACGCGGAGAGCCTCTCCCAGGCAGCTCCCAGCACCCTTACCAGGTCATGGCAGCCGCCGTTTCCTGCCCGGCAGGGGTCAATGGGACTGCAGACGTAGCCGTCTCCTGCGAACCCCAGCTTGCAGGTGCACCGGCTCTGGAGGTGTTGGGAGCAGAGGCCTCATCTCACCAGCAGCTCCCAGCCCTTTCCTGCCCCACCTCAGCTCTGATGGGCACTATGCCCTGAGGTGCCCTCTTCAGACCCCAGAGGAGCCTCTCCCAGCTGCCTTGGAGACCCATGTTCCAGGTGGGGGGACTGAAGTCCCGAGGGGAGACCAACTCTCAGGACGAGTCCAGGGAAGTGCTGGCTCTTGGCGGGGCAGGGAGACTGGGTGCCCCACCCTCAGGCCTGGGCCCGTGGTGTGGGGAGCGGGTAGGACCTGCCAAGGCCAGCCAGGGACAGGGCTCAGACCCCAGCCAGCCCTGCCCCCTGCTCAGCTACGCCTGATGCTCGCGTCCTTGGGCTGGTCCACACTGCAGGTGAGTGACTGGTGAGACCTCCCCAGATCTCAGTTTGCAGGGGGCATCTCAACCTGCTTAGTCCCAGCCTCAGTTCTAGCGGCCCGGGCCACCATGGCCGGGAGGGCAGGCCCCCGCACAAGCCCAGGCCATGTGGAGGCTGGCCCTGACCACCAGGCCCGGCCTTCCGATCAGCATATTAGATACTCTTAAATGCCAGCCAGTCCTTGGGCTCGCCAGGCCAGGAAACTTCACACAAAAGGCTACAGGTTCAGAGACCCCTTGAGTGGAGCCTGAGCCTACAAAATCCCAGGGCTAGGTTTCCAGCGGTCTGAACACTGTGGGATGTCAGCACTCCCCTTGGGCAGGAGTCTCCCCCTGCTTTGCTCAGCGTCCAATTCCTAAGTGTGGGACAGGGCCTAGCATGTAGCAGGTACCTGGTAACATGTGGGCCCGATGAGGGGATGGATGAACTAGGCAGAAGACAGAGGACCCAGTGGCCAGTCAGCACGGAGAACTCCCTCTGATCACAGGAGTCCTTATCTCTTGTCAGATGACAGAGACAGGGGCCATGGCCTTCTGATTTGGGAAGGTCTGCCTTTGTCTGGCCCTGGTTGTACCTCCCATAAAACCACCCTAGCCCACAGGGCTGCCGCACACCCCCTCCTCCCAGATTATACACTCTAACGTTTCAGAACTGGAGTGCTGTTTGCCTGAGGTCTGAGACCCCGAGCTTGATTCCTGGCATGGACATTCCCGGGGTCAGAGGGGCTAGGGGAAGGGTCCCCAGCTCAGGGTCCCCACCCCTCTCTGCTGCCTCTAGGCCTGCCCCGCCTCACCTGCCCAGGGCCCACGTAGCTGCAGAGGGCATCAGCGTGGCAGCCGCCTCTTGCATCCAGCTCACACTCATCGATGGCCACGCAGACACGGCCATCTCCACTCCAGCCTTTGTGGCACATGCAGTGGGGGGTGCCCAGGGCTCCGGGGACACACTCGGCCTATAAGAGCCACAGATAAATGACACTCAGTGATAGGCAGAGGGGAGTTCCATCTCGCACCCCTGGGTCAGGACTTCCAGGGAGGGACACTTGACTGACGTTCTCTGCACAGCCACCACGGTCTGGGCGGGAGCAGGGGTTGCTGGGTGTACAGGAGAAGCCATCACCCTCAAAGCCATCGAGACAGAGACACCTAGGGAGGTGAGCAGAGCCTTCGGTGAGCCTCTGCACCACCGCTGTCACAGATGAGGTGGGGAGGAAGCCCGAGTCCTCACCTGCTGGCGCCCCCCTGGCTGACACAGCGGGCGTGTGGGTGGCAGCGCTGGGCCAGCTCTGTGGGCCCACAGGTCTCCACAGACTCATTGCAGAAGGGGCCGCTGAAGCCTGGGGCACATGTGCCCCGCTGGCACACGCCGCCACTGCCCGGGCGGTTGTCACAAATGCCGTGGACACAGCCGCAGTCTGGAGGGGGCAGATAGGGCAGGGTCGGCTGGGAGCCAGGATGCAGCTGAAAGGGATTACTGGGAACGGAGCAGCCAGTGCCGACTTGACTTCAGAGTCACAAAATCTGAGGTCATCGCAGACCCATGTGCGGTTAAAGGACATGCGAGGGGGGCGTTGTCACTTTTAGCCACACCATTTCAGTTGCCCTGCCCCCAACACCACCACCAGGAAGATCTGTGCATCTGACCTAAATCCTGCACGTTTCAGACTGAACCATGCTTCTCTGCCTGGCATGAATAAAGAAGACATCTATTCCCAAATCCTCCTCCACTCCCTTCCTCCTAGGGCTGGTCCCCTTCGTGGGCATGCCCAGCCCCCTTCCAAGCAGACCCTGGGCCAGGACCACCCACCTTCCTGGCACTTGTCTCCATGCTTCTTGGGGTTGGAGCAGATGTGGCAGGCAATGCCCTTGAAGTCCGGGAAGCAGAGGCAGGCCCCATTGCCCTGGACCCCATCACTGCACTGGAGGGCGTGGAGGCAGGCTCAGCCCTGCGGACCACAGCCCCATCCCCCCCACCACAGGCTGGCTCTGCCCCATTGCTCGAGGCCTTCCAGGTCACTGGTGCTGCGGAGGAGCCAGCTCCTGAAAGCCAGCCCTGGAGGCCTCATGGTGCCTGCTGTCCCACGTGGGCACACATGGGCACACATGCATCCTGTGCCCTGAGCTGGGCAGGTCCTCAAGTGGCCCTGGCGTTACAAAGAGGCCAGAGCAGAAACTACTGACAAGTAGGTGCACAGCCTATCTAATTCTTTCTGATTAAAATAGGACAAACATGGTCCAGCTTCCAGTGCCTTGATGCAAGACAGAGACAGGCCGGCTTGGCTCAGACAGCCCGTCACTGGCCGGCAGGAAGGAGCTGCTGCCCCCACAGCTCACCCTGGGCGGAGGGGGCTACTCACGTTGCCTTTGCCGTAGCAGGGGTTGGAGAAGCCCCCAGGACACTGCGCACAGTCAGGCCCAAAAAACCCCCGGCAGCAGCCTGGCTTCTGTAGGAGACAGAGCACGTCTGAGAGCCTGTCTGGGGCAATGCTGACCCCCTTCCCAGGCTGCTTCTTCCCCCTAGTCCCCCATCTGGAGCAAGGCGGTGGGTGAGGCCCCTCTGAGACCTTTCCCACCACATGGAAGAGGACACAGCTCAGCTCTGAGGAAGGGGTGGGTGCCTGAGCCCAGGCTCACCAGGATGGTCTGGTTGCAGTGGTGGGCGCAGCCCTTCTTCAGGACATTGAGGCCAGCAGGGTCATGGACATAGACACACTCCTCAGGGAAGATGTCCTGAGGTGGGCCACGCAAGGCTGGTCAGCAGGTGTGGGGCCTGGACCAGCCTTGGCCAAGAACCCTGCCCTCCCCCACTCAGTGGGCTGCTGAGCCTCCAGGTCCAGTCTGACCTCCCAGCCCCACCTCCCCACCCTGACCCACAGCAGACAGGAGTCGGCACTGGGCCAGGGGGTGCTCACCAGCTTCACGCTGCCAGGGGGACACGTGCTGGTGCTCAGGGCTTGGCAGTCCACGCAGGAGCCCTGGGCAGGGCGGGGGGCAGGGCGGGGTGGTGAGTCAAGGCTTACTTATTCAGCAAACCCTAACAAAGGGGCACTGAGCCAAGACCTGGGGTACAGAACGGAGTCAGCCATAGGAGGGCCCAGGGATGGCGCCTGACAGCGGGGAGAGCAGGGCGAAGCCTGGGCGCGAGCGCAGGGCAGCACAGGCCTCGGCAGGGGCCTGGGACAGGGCCTGAGGACGCGCCATGTCCCAGGGGCAGCCGGTAGAGCCCTGAGGGCTGACGCAGGGGAGGCTGGCCGAGCCCCAGCAGCTCACCCCTCGCCCCCCGCACGGCAGCGGCGCTGCACGCTCACCGCCACGACCTGGTGCTGCTCCTCGCCGCAGAGCTTGGGCAGGATGGGCAGGATGGTCGGGGGCAGCAGGACACCGTCCAGCATGTGGATCACGCCGTTGGAGGCCAGCAGGTCCACCCTCCACAGCGGGACACCGTCAGGTCCCAGCAGGACACGGCCCTGTGGCAGAGCCCAGCCCAGCCAACCTCAGCTGCCCCCGCTGGTGCGCCCGCCTGCCCAGCCGCCTCACCATCCTCTCCTTGGCAGCCTCCTGCCCCGGACCCTGTGCCCCCATCTGCATGCTCACCCTCCTCCTGGGAGCCCTCCTGGTCTGCTGGGTCCCAAGATAAGGACAGGATCTGTGCCTGCCTCCCGTGTAACCCCCACCGGTGCCTGCCTGCCACAGGGCTCGGCACAAAGGCAGGTCTGAAAGAGACCAACTACCGGCCGGTTGTCACCAGCCCCTCACTGGTCCAGGCCTTCCAGACGCCCGTGGAGCTCACCTCCTCGGTGACATTCACAGCTATGACCTGGTTCGCCATGGAGACGACCCGACCCTTGGAGATGAGCTTCTCAACGGTCAGCTGGGGTGGAGGACAGGGTGGCCTCAGGCTGATGCTAGCCAGCTGGGACTTGGGGCCACACCCAGCGCCGCCCAAGTGGCTCGCAGCTCCCGCCTTGGCCCGGGGCTCTCCTCCGCGCTGTGGCGGTCCCGATGGCAAGGACAGAAGGCCCTGGGCACACCGGGACCTGAGATGCCCCCAGGGGAGGCCTCTCACCTGGCTGCGGCTGTAGATGTGGTGCCTCACCAGCTCCTGCAGTTTGGAGAGACCCTGGCAGGGAGAGGGGGCTTGGCTGCCAAAGGCGCAGAGCGGGGGGGCGGGGGCCTCGCCCTCCCACAGGCCCTCCCGCCAGCTCACCGCTGTGAAGAGGTAGATTAGACGGCCATCCCGCAGCCGGTCCACAGCCTCATTGCTCGGGACGAAGACCGTGAAGGGCCCCGGCCCGTCCAGGATGGAGGGTGACCCGCAGTTCTGCGGCAGGGGGACAGAGGCCCCCGGAGGTTCATGGCCGGCCCCCGCCTCTGAGCCCTGCGGCCTCAGCCTGCAGGGAACTCCCGCCCAGAATGGGTAGGAGACGTGGGGGGAAGGTCGCACCGCTGGAGAGCCTCAGGGCAGGTTCTAGGGTGGGGCGTGAGCTACACCAGGGCCCCGACCACTGGGGGGCAGATGCTAGGGAACAAGGGGTCCTGGCCCAAAAGATTAGATGGGCTGGGACCTTCCCCCAACTCACCTCCAGGATGGTTTCAAAGCGGCTGAAGGCCTCAGTGGAGGCGAGGATCTGGCCAATGGTTCTCTGTAGGCAGGGATGGGCATCAGGGCCCCCAGGAGAGGGTGAGGCTGATGCCGACCCCCTCCCCAGAACTGCCCCGCCCCATCTCTGCTCAGTGGGGCTCAGAGGTCACCCAGAGGCCCAGGGCTCGGGGCAGGGAGGGCACTGGCTTACCGTGGAGTCCTCAGGGAGCTCCGATGGGGGCTGCCACCGAAGGGTGGTGACCACATGGAAGACGCCGTTGGCTGCCGGGTAGTTAGCCTTGTAGACAGCGACTGTCTCCTGAGCTGGGTCTTTGTCCTTGAAAGTGTATTTCTGCAGAGACATGAGGCTTCTGCCTTGGACTTCACATGCCAGTCCCATCTCAAGGCTCTGTCCCCCCTCCATGCCTCTCCTGGTACTGTCCCCTGCCTGTGACTGCTCTGGTCTCCAGGCTGAGGTCCCCCCCTTACCATGTAGCGGTGGAAAGCAATGGTGACCTCCTGGCCGGCCAGTGTCCACCACCTGACTGACTGCTGGGACCTGGATTCATCCAGCACGTGCTGTCCTGCGACAATGTGCTGTCTGCAGAGCTGCCGGGCAAGGGACGCCTGCAGCACAAGGGGACAATGCCACGTGGGCCCAGGACGGGTGGTCCTGTCCACGCCCCTCTGCCCGAGCCGAGGGAGGGACAAGCCACCTCCCAGGCCCCAGTTCCCCAGAGTGTGGCCTGGGACTCTCAGAGCCCTGAAGCCTGGGGTGGGTCCAGAAAGAGGCCCAAGCTGGCGGCCAGCTCGTCGGGGGCGGGAGCTCACATTAGTGGTCCTGGAGGAGCTGTAGGAGTTGGACGGCACCAGCACAGTGAATGGGCCTGATGTGGTGAGGATCTCCCGGCAGCCCTGCTCTGGGGGCCAGGGGAGGTGCATCAGAATGGACCAGGGGGGCCCTCGGGCACCAGGTTTGGGGAGTTGGGACAGGAGTGCTGGGTCTGGGTGCAGGGTAGACGGGGGCATCAGGACCTGGGGGCTGGCTCCCATATCTGACATGCACCACACCACAACCCACTGTCTGGTTCCCCAGCTCTTGCATGGAGAAAAAAGGCTTCTCAGCAGAGTACACCCCCTCCCTGCCAGCAATGCCGGGGGCCAGGGCGGGGTCACACCCAGCATGGCCAGGTTGAGTCTCTGCCGCAGGAACATCATGCCCATCTGGTCGGCTTTCCGTATCTCATGGAGCAGGTGTCCGTAGCAGGCGCGCCCATCCCCCACCTCACCCTCCTTGCACACACAGCTAGGAGCACAGGGAACAACTGGTCAGGCAGAGAGAGGGCACGACCAGTCCTCACCTCCCAGCCCCACCCCAGCCCCGCAGGGCTCTTGAGCTGAGGGGGTGCTGTGCATGTGCACACTGCCCAGCCCACCCTCTCTGCTCTGCCCCTAGAGCCCATCCCAAAGGCCCTGTGCCTACCTGGTCTTCCCATCAGGCATCACCTGGCAGGTGGCTGACCGGTCGCAGGAGTGGGGGAAGCAGTAGGCAGAGCAGCCGGCGGAGGCATTGTAGTTCTTGTTGACCAGGCCAGGCTTACATGAGCAGGAGGCCTGGGCCACCAGGCAGGCAAGAGGGTGATGCCACATCCATGAGAACCGGGGGCATCTGCCACACCCAGGGTTCTGCTTGGGCCCCACAACTGCCCTCCAAGAGGAGGGCTGTCATCCCCTTCCCAATTTGCAAATGGGGCAGCTGAGGCTCTTGGGAGACGTGTGGTTTGCCCGGGGTCCCACTGCCAGTGTGGGCAGGAGGCGCAGCAGGGCAGGCCCGGCGCAGGGCCTCAGCTCACCTTCCCTGGCCTCTGGTACAGACACAGCGTGGAGTCGCTGGGGCAGCCACCGTGGTTGGAGGTGCACGGGTCCAGGGGCAGGCACACTGTCCCATCACCATGGTAGTTCTCGGGACAGCGACACTGCGCCTGCCCCCTGGGGCTCGCCAGGCATCGGGCCAGTGGGGAGCAGGGTGAGGGCCGGCAGGGGTCAGGGGCTCCAGGGAAGAGAGGGCGATGCCAAGTGAGCCCGGCATCCAAGAGCCCCCACCAGGATAGACCACAGGAGGGGGGCAGGTGGGTCTAGACCTTGGGGACAGGCCCTCTTCCCGCCCGCACGGGTGGTTCCGCATGCCTGTAAACAGCCAGCGTAAGCTTGCTGCCCCGGGCTCTAGGCCGCGGACCTACCTCGGCATTCACCGCCCTGCTGGACGTAGCCAGGCAGGCAGCGGCAGGCGGGGGCCTCTGAAGAGCACTGGGAGCCCTGGGGACAGTGCAGGGCCTGGCAGACGGGCAGCTCTGAGAAGAGACGGGCAGTGTACCACACAGACCCCCAGGTTGGGCGGGAGCACCAGGGCAAGGATGCTTTGCCTGGTCTGCTGTGTGACCCTGGCTGGGACCCCACCCTCTCTGGGCCTCTGGGCAGTGGTCTCAGGTAACACCTCCGACCTGACTAGCTGTGTACCTCTCCTGCTTAGAAAGAAATCAGGCTGTGGGCAGACGTCCTGCTGAGGCTCAGGCACCCCCAATCCTCACTCAGCAGGCCCCTCCCACTCTGGTTACCAAGGGCACATGGGTCTAGACTCACCTTGTTCACAGCGGGGTCCAGTGTACCCAGCAAAACACAGACAGCTTCCGTCCCCAAGTGGCCCACGGCTACATATGCCATGCACACAGCTGCATGCTGGGAGAGACACACAGGGATGGGGGACACTGGCCTCACCCAGAGACACAGGGACTAGTCCTTGCACCCTGCGTTTCCAGAGCTCTGCTCCAGCGGGAATGGCCTCAAGAGTATAGAGCTGCGACTCAGGCCCTCAGGGGTGTGGGGAGCCCAGCCTGGGGACTCAGGGAGGGCTTCCTGGAGGAGGAACAGTATGGGCAAGGGCATGTGCTGGATGTGATGAAGCCAAGCTGGTGTCCCTAACCGGAAGTACAAAGCTTGGGCCTAGGAGGGGGCTGGTGGGCCTGGCTGTAGGGACTAGGCTCTCCGACCCTACTGGGGCTCACCAGACCGGCAGTCAGGCCCGAACCGGCTGGGGTCTCGGCACTCCTGGCAGGCGGACCCACTGAAGTGTTCCTGCAGAGGGATGCCCCGGGTCAGTGAGGCCTTCCACTGCTGCCCACCCAACCCCGCCTGGCCCTTACCTGGCACACGCAGGTCCCGTTCCTGTCAATCCCATCCAGGCAGGTTCCACGGCCATTGCATGGGGTCTCAGCACCCCCAGGGCACTCTGTGGACCCCCAAAAACTTGATTCATCCCTGAGCCCAGCAGCCCAGCAGCCCAGCAGCACCTACCTCGTGGACAAGCCCAGGGAAGGGAGTACGGGCAGATGCCACAGACAGGCGCAGGGCTGAGCGTGAGGAGCCGGGCTGGGACCCCCGTACCGTAGCACTGGGACCCCCAGTAGCCCGGGCAGCAGGCCTTTTGCACCATGTCCTTCCAGCACTCCAGGCTGCAGCCGCTCATGGACACCACAGAGTCCCCCAGCTGCACCTCATAGCTGGGGGCAGAGGGTGGGCAGGGCAACAGGAGGGGCTCGCACTCTGCAGCCCCCCACCAGCACACTGGGCTCCGGGGCTCCTCCTCCACCTCCCCCCTCTGCCTGGCCCGGGGCCGAGCAGGCGCTCAGGAAACATCACCGGCCCCCTGACTCCTCTCCGCTGCCTCTCTCCGCCCCACCAGAGGGGCCGGCAGCTGCTGGGGTAAGGGCGGCTCTGCCTTCGCTCCCCAGGCCTGCCAGACTCTCCCTGGCCCTGGCCAACCCCCAGAATGCTCCTGGAAGAGGGTGAAGATGGGGCCCGTACCGGCAGTCCTGTGATATCTTCTCTGGGAACTCCCGAAGCCAGCCTAGGGGACACACCTGCTTCTTGATGGCAGGGCACGTGGTGCAGGGCGTGCGAGTGACAGACTTGGTCTTCACATCACAGCGTCTGGACCACACCTGGGCCGCAATGGGGGGGTTTGTATGGGAGGCCTGGACCCTGCAGCCCACCCTCTTGTGGCCATGGTGAGGCTGAGCACCCCCTCCAGGCGTTGGTCCCCCCACTCTGTTCAGCAGGGAGGTGGTGAGGACAAGGAAGGCCCTGAGGCTGGGAAACACCTGTCACAGGTTGTCACGGCCACGGTATGTCCCTAGTCCACAGACACGGACCCCTGGCCAGGCCCAGAAGCCTGATCTATCCCTCCTGACACAGAGAACCCAGCCACACTGCTGCACCTCAGCCTGTCAGAGGCCAGCACCCGGACTGGACCCCGTGCTCGGCCCTGCTTTCCCTTTGAAGATGACATTAAATGACAAGTGGGCACAGGAGGAGGCCACAGTGGTCCCCTCCTCGATTCCAGGGGCCAGGCAGGTCGTGACTTTTGGCCTCATACCAGGCACCTGCTCCAGCTCTGCCCTCAGCACGTACTGCCCTGCTGCTCACTGACGCTCTTGGTAAGCCCAAGGGCCCTGCCTGCTGCCCCCAGGCCAGAGACCAGGAGCCAGCCCCAGACGCGAGCAGGTGGCCCACATGAGCGGGCATGTGCGAGGGGGTCTGCCTGCATTTGGACCCCGCTGTCACATTCCGAGCCTCGGCCCCAGGCCTGGCCCACAGCACTGCGCACCGGCCGGGGCCCAGGGCACCACTGCCCATCATCGAAGGACAATGCTGACAGCGAGGGAGCTGAGAGGGCCAGATGGCTTCCCAGCAGGGAGGAACACTGAGACGGGGGCTAAAGGGTGCACAAGGGTCGGCCAGGGCCAGTGCCCCTGGCAGAGGGGACAAGAGAAGCAAGGCCAGGAAGTGGGAAGGAGCCAACGACCACATGTGAGGGGACCGAGCGCAGCTGAAGAGAGGCTGGAGCGGGGTCAGCCCCAGGCTCCACCGTGGTGTGAACGGGTCCCCTGGCCCCTGCCGGCCCGCCACAGCCCCACCCCCTGCACGCGCACCGCCGCTGCCGCTGCCTCTGTGGCCAGAGTCCCAATAAACTTAGCAGCAGCACTGCAGCCTGGAGGGGCGGAAGCTGACTTGTGAGTGGGAGAAGGGGTCCCACTTGTGAGATGGAGAGGTTTTGGGGGCTTGGGGAGCGGCCTGGAGAGGCTGAGATGTTTTCATCCAAAACATGCTGGACGCTGCAGTCCAGAGGCAGTGAGCCCAGACACCCTTCTTAGAATGCATCTCGGATGTGCAGCCTCTCAAAGCAGGAGGAAAGGAAAAACAGCACCCCAGTGCTTTCTTGGTGACACAAGGGACCCGGGCCTCTCTGCCACTGTGATTTGGCCTTTTCCACTCATTCCTCTGCGGTCTGCAAAGAAGGAAGCTGCTGCGGCCAGCCTCAGGCTGGACTGTGGTTTCACCTCCATCCCGAGACCCCGTCTTTGCTGAGCCAGGGAGTGACAAGGAAGTTGGGTAACTCCAAGGCCCGGCAACTGCTGGCTCAGGGCAAAGGCTTGCGGGCAGGAGGCTCTGAGGGCCCCCTGGCCAGCCAGGCCTGGCTCCCAGCTCGGCCACCGCTAGCCTGGGGACCCGCTCTCTGAATGTCAGCCTCGGTAAGGGCAATGTGGGTGCCAATGGAATGGTGGCTGAGTTACAGGCACGGGTGTAAGCTGGAGCCGTGTCCACTGGACACGCCTGTTCACAACATGCTGCATTTGTCAGTGTGTGTGAAATGGTGTGAAATCTACACCTGTCTCCTGGAACCACGCCGCTGGTACCCATGGGCCCCTCTGCCCACAGCCTGGAAGCAGCTTGAGCAGCCCCAGCCCACGATCCCCGCTGGCTCCGCTGGCTGAGGCTGTGTCACTGCCGAGTGCTGCGTCAGGCCCCCGTCGTCCCGGGTGCCCAGGAACCTGCCTGAGCTGGGCGGCAGTGCCACTCCCTGCCCCACACCAGAACTGATTGTGCAATGTCTGCCTCCACAGAGATGCAGCTGGGGAGATGAGGAGACACACTGTGTGAAGCCTGCCATGAGGAGGCAGAGGTCCCCCAAGCCCCCCAAGAGGTGGGGGGGCCCCAGGACCCCACCTCCCTCACAAGGCAGGGACCCCCAAACTGCTCCCCTTGCCCTACCTAGACCAGTGCCCCTCTGTAGGCTCCATAAGCACCAGCCCACACATAGTGCAAAGGAGGCACTTGGTAAAAGGACAGGTGCTAAGGCCCTCTCCTCCAGGAAGCCTTCCTGGCCTCTACTGCCCGAGTTTGTGTCCAGCTCCTGCCCCTCACTGGCTGTGGGACCCAGAGGTTGTCCTTTCCCCTCAGAGCCTCAGTTTCCTAATGTTTACAGTGGGTCTCATGCTACACAGCATGGGGACAAGTATATGAGACAAGGCCAGCATTGCTGCACCCCTGTCCACAAGCATCCCTGGCACCCTCTTCCCTGGCCTGGCTGGCTGAGACCCAGCCTCAGATGGCAGGCTTAGAGGTGGTCAGAACCATACCTCTCTGACAAGGAAAAATCCCAGCCCGAGGCCTTTCTTTGGCCCCTGTTCCTAGAACACGAGGTCTTTGAAATTCCTTTGCTTGGACACATGGGGAAACTGAGGCAGGGAGGGAGCAGGAAGCCACCTGCAGGGCTCAGCAGTCTGGAACCCTTAGCTCTTCCACCATCATCACCTGCTCACGGCTTCTGATCTGCAGGTGTCCCACCCTGACCTTGCCATGCAGCTGGCAGGCCCTTCTCCCTGTCCCTTCTCTGAGAGACCACAGCGAGTCTCTCCCTTATACCAAGAGAAAGAGGGCCTAGTGGTGGCAGGGGCCTGGCTCTGACTGACAGTGGGATCTGAGGCAAGTCCCTCTTCTCTGGACCTGTCTACCCGTTAGTGACGGGCACAGCAGTGGCTGCTCCAAGAATCAGATGAACTTATTAGCCCCCAGAGGCAGGCCCCAGCCAGGAACTCGTAACTCCACACTTGGGGCTGGGGGCTCCTCCAGAAGTCCTGTGGGGCCTAGGTGGGCCTGCAGACAGCCTGGAGGTGCTGGCACACATGGATGGGGCATCTGTACACTGGGCGCCTGTCTGTGGGGAACCACAAGTGAAGGTCTGGAGCAGAGCTTCAGGGCTGCACTGACCTCTCAGCTGTCCTAAGGCCTTGGCTTCCTGGGGCAGAGAACAGGACCCATGGCCAGAGGTTGTAAAGATTCCAGGGGACAATGCCCGCGCGTGCCCAGGGCTGTGCACTTGGTAAGCAGCAGCCCTTAGGTCTGAGGGTGTCACCCAAGGGGATGTGAGTGAGGAGACGCATCTGCCTTGGGGCACGCTTGGGGCCAGACCCAGGCACACACACACCCAGTCCGCACACACAGTCCGCGTGAGTCTCTCAGTCTGCTAGCCCTGGAGGGCTGGGGGTGATCCCATGTCCAATTCCCAGACCAGGGTGACAGAGAGACGGGGCCTTAGTCTGGGCCAGGGGCAGGCGGATGGGTCTGGCTCTACACCCTCACCCTCAAGCCAGGAGCCCTGAGCTGGCTGCCCACACCACATGGCATGCTGGGCACAGAGGATGGCAGGCCAACACACCCCTGCCACCTGAGACAGCCTTAGCCTGGGCAGATGGGCATGAAAGCCCACACTCTGGTCCTGCCTAGAAAAGGCCAGACAGGTAACAGCTGCCGTGTGTGTGTGTCCCCAGACCTGTGCCCGGTGTGTGTACATTCCCGCCCTGCCCCCCGGCAACCACCTCATACTCACCTGCCCCCTGACGAAGCTGGAGCCCGCTAGGCGGAAGGCCAGAAAGCAGAGCAGGAGGCGGCCCTGGGGCCCTGCCATGGTTGGGGGCGGCCGGCGAGCACGCTGTCCAGGGCAGGGCGGCTGGCGCGGGGAGTGAGCTCCAGGAGAGAGGCACAGGGCGGGCGTGTGGGCGGGATGGGGCGGGCGACTGCTTTAAAAGCAGCGCACGGGCCCCACCGGCTCACCCCCACAGGAACCCGCCAGGATTTCCTCCTGCGTATCAGCAGCCTGCAGGCGGAAAGGAAGGTGCTGGCCACTGACCCTGCATGGACCGCCTGGGCCCTGCTAGGGGCTTCCTGGCCTGGGACCCTCCTCCTGGAATCCCCACCTGAGCCCACCACTAGCCACAAGCCCGGGGTCTGTCAGGCTTGTGAGGTGAATTCACATGCGAACAACTCTGCAGCCCTCGGGTCCGCAAGCCCAGCCTGATGCACTAGAAGGTCTAGGAGGCCCTGGCAGTCGCAGGGTAGGGCGCCCCTCCCTCAGGTCCGTCTGCTCCGACCTTTCCAGCTGCTGAGGACGCTTGTAGGCCTCCAGCTCCTGGCCAGCCCCATGGGAAGCAGACAGCAGATGCCTCCTTCTCCCTGGCCCCAACCCCCCGACTGGTCCTGCCCATGGGCTTCTACCTCACCTGACTCCCCCGAGTCCCTGCTCCTCCCTTCTCTCCCCCAGGGCTCTCCCTGCTGCCGGTGCCCCTGCCCCAACCACTCTCTGCTCGGCGGCCATGCTGAAGCTTCTACTGCCCCCAAAACCCCTCTCCACGCCAGACCGGCCTCTGCCCTCACTGTCTGTTCCCTGTCCCTTCCTGGCCCACCCTGCTCCAGCCTCACCCAGTGGTTTTTGGTACTGCTGTTACCCCACATCCTCCTAGGGTCTCACCACAGGGTCAGTCTCAGGTCAAAGGTCACCAGCTTTCATCTCAGAGCACTGGGCCCAGACACCAGTTTATTTTCTGACCACCCCTGGAATGTCAGCTATAGGAGGGCAGGGACAGCACCTGGCTGGACCACAAAGTAGATGCTCCCTACACATTTGTGGAATGAACAAGTGGTGGGGAAACTGAGGCTCAGAGGGGCTAGCTAACTCACCTAAGGCCACTCAGCTCATGGGTGTTAAGCTCCAGTGCCAGGTCTGCTGCCTGCAGAGCCGCCCACTACCATGCAGCCTCTGTCCCAGGAAGGTCCCGCCCTCCTGGACCTAGGCCAGGGTAGGCTGTCCTGGGGGGCCAGAAACAGCAGCCCAGGTGGTGAGGCCTCCATGTGCCTGGCCTGGGCACGCTGGGCCCTGCTTCTGGTTGTCACCAACCCCATTTACAGATGATGTAACTGAGGTGGAGGCAAGTAGCTCCTTATAATCCCCGTTTGATAAAGGCCTGGTTGCGGGGAGCTTGCCGCCTGCCCCCTCCTCATTCTCAGCAGGCCCCTTCTCCCCCTGGCAGCTAGAGGGCCCATCGAGCTGGCCTTTGCAGTCCAGCTGGCAGGTTGTGAGTAGGGAGACCCTCTCCTCGGTGGCTCCCCTCCTCAGCCTTCCTGAGAGAAACGGGGCCCCCAGGTCAGGACCCCAAGCCCACCAGCACTGATGGAAACCCAAGTGGCAGAAGCAGGCCTGGGGGCTGGGCTCACCCCCGCTCACCTCCCTCAATCCTGCATGGCCAAAATGGCCCAGGTCTTGGGGTGTGGCTCCAAATCAGGACGAGAAAAGCAGTAGGGCTCCAGGGCCCTGCTCTGGGGTGGGGACAGGCAGAGAAGAGATGAAGACACAGGCTGGCTCCCAGAAAAACCCAGACCCCGCCTCTCTGAGGACAGGAGCACACACAGCAGAGGCCTCCTCCCCACTGCCCACTGCCCGGGGCCACCTCCCGCTTAGGACCATCTCCGTGAGACCCTGGGCCCCGCTAGTAAGCGATCTCAGGCTCTAAGCCTTACCCTCACCACGGCTGCCGCTCCAGGTGGGGCGGGGCCCCAGTGAGATTCCGGACCTGCAGGAGGCAGAAGCGCAGTGAGCCAGGCAGCCGGGTGCTCCCTGAGGCTCAGGGTTTGGCCATAGCCCAGCACGTCCCCACCTGGCACTTCACGCCGCCCGCCCTGCAGCCCTGGGAGAGCTGCTGCCTCACCTGCACGCCCTCCTCCCTTCCTCCTCTCCCATCATCCCCCCTTCCTGCCTAGGATTCCCTCTCACCCCCTCATGGCAACCTCGCCCGGGGACACTGTGGCCCCTGAAATGAAAGACCCAGACTGTGTCAAACTCTGCTTTATTGGAATAGAGAAAACAGGCCACAGGGATGGCACCAGCTGTAGGTTAGCTCTAGGCCTCTGGCCCCCATGCCTCGGCCTGAGGACCTCCTGCCCTCACGGGGCTCCCCGGCTTGTCTGGACCAGGAGAGGCCTCCACTCTGGAAAACTGCATGGGGCAGAAGCTTCCCACGTGCATTTTGCTACCGGCTTCGTGATCACAGCAGACATCCACGGTGTTGGCAACAGCAGTGAGACTGGACTTGGCAATTCAGAAAGGGGGCACGACGGAGTGAACCAGACCCACGGTGCCACGTGTTAACAGTCCCATGACAGACGACACAACACTGGCGTGCCAGCCACCACGTGCCAGGGGAAGGCAGCAGACCCGGCAGGAGGCAGACGGCACACGGAGGCCCTGCAGGGGCTGGCACCGACTCCTGGTATTGGAAAGAATTAACTGAACAGACATCACATTTTCTGAGAGGCCAGTCAAATGAAGGTACCAGGAGGGAGGAGAAAACACTTTTAAAAGACCACAGAAAGCCTGCTTCCCACCCGAGCAGATGACGCCAGGCTGGACATGGTGGGTGGCAAGGGCTGGCCTAGCCAGTAAGCTCAACGGGCAGCTCGCGGCCACACAGGGCCTCCCACTGACGGGCCAACAGCGAGATGAGCTTCTCACGGCTCTCGGCACTGGGGACAAACACCTGCCACTGGACCTCACGGCCCTGGCCAGCTCTGGCCAGGCCACCAGGCACCTCCCCGAAGTGGTCGAGGGCGACGCTGCCCATGAGGTCGTGGCCCCGCACATCATCAAAGACAAGGGTGAGGGCCTGTGGGTAGGTCTGGTAGCCCATGAGCACACGGTCCAGGTCCCGGACGCGGCGGCCATCATCCAGCCGGTACCGGTCCCTCTGTGGTGGCTCCTTGGCGAACTCGGGCAGCGGGTAGTGGACAAAGTCCTCGTCCAGAAGGAAGATCTCAGTGCTGGTGAGCAGCAGCGTTTTGGGGCGCAGCACACCCCTGTTGTGCCCTGGAGGTGGCACGCCCACCTGGAAGGCCTGCACATACAGGAGGATGCTGAGAGCCGGTGTCTCCGCCGAGTCAGCCACCCTTTGGGCCACGACGAACATCAGGTCCCCAAGTTCCTCCTCACTGGGATAGGTGAACTTGACACGGCTAGAATGGATAAGCTCATAGTTCTCCATCTTCCCTGCAGAGAGAGACGCCCACCAAGGCTGGAGCCTAGAACTGGCCTGTGGCAGGGCTGGGGGCATGGACGACCCCAAGCCACCTTGAGATGGGAGACGGCAGTACGAACTGCTGTCAGTGGCGGGAGAGTGCTCCAGGCCCCGACCCTCGGGCAAAGACCCACAGGCCAGTGGCTCAGAGAGGAGTGAATGCTTGAGATGCATCTGCCGGACAGGGGAGGGTCTGCTGGGATGGAGGCTCGGCCATGGCAGAGCCCGTGTTAACACCCAAGCTGGCTGTCAGGGAAAGTGAGAGGCAGAGAAGGTTCTGGGTAGAGAGGGGTGCCTGGCCCTCAGAGTCACAGTGAGGAGGCCCAAGACACCCACCTAGGCAGCCTGCCTACAGCCTGAGCTAGACAGGGGTACCTGTGGTCTTGTTCCCAAACTCAGAGTAGAAGTCCTTGTCAACAGGCTCAGGTGAGGGGGAGCGCTCCAGGGAGGAGAGCACGGCCATGAGGTGCTGGAGGAAGCAGTGTGTCAGGTAGCTATCCCGAGTTAAGCACGTGACTACCTGCACTGGGGAGGAGCCTGCGGGAGAAGGGGCTGGTCAGGGTCGCAGGCCGCTGCCCCCCGCCCTGTCTCTGTCCCTGAGCCATCTCCAGTCTCTACCTAGCAGGTCAGCCTAGACCTGAGGACCACAGAGCAGGTCCCAGCAGGCCCACGTGGGAAAGCATCACGGGGCCTGGGGAGACGGCCATTCCTTAGGCCGGAAGGGCTGTGACATTTTTCTGGAAGGGGATGCAGAAGCATTAGGGAAAAAGCTTAGCTTTCTCTCTTCAGGAAGTGAGTCAGAAACATCCTGCCCATGAGCCTCGGGCCCACTCTGCATGCCTGGGCACACTGCTGCCTGCACCCCCACCTCACTGCCTCCCGCTCCGAGCCCGAGGGTAAGCTCTGCTCCCTCAGCAGTTCCTGGAGCCGCTTCCTCCCGCTCCGACAAACCGGCTTATAAGCAAAGATAACATAGCCACGTGTGGAAGGTAGAAACCCACTGGTGAAGCTGCCCTTCCCCCAAAACAGTACGAAACACAGTGGCCACTCACCCGTCAGCCGGAAATACTGGTCAAAAAGCCCCACGTTGACTGCCTGCAGCTCACTGAGCTTTAAAACAAAGCACTGGGAGATGTAGAAGGGGCTGTTGTTATAGTCAGTGTTTTTCTGATGCCAGAAATCTGTGGTGGAGGAAGACGCTGAGTGTGGTGGGGGCCGCACCAGGCCAGCATGAAGGCCCAAGTGTGCGGCTAGGCGGGAAGGGGGCCCTTGACCGGCTGGATTGCTGAGGTCTGGTGAGGAGCTACCAGTGCCCCCGTGCACACAAAGTCCCCCAGGTGCCTGCTACAGGCCACCGGCTAAAGCTCCCGGAGACCCCACCGGCAGAGGGGCCCAGTCCTCACATCAGGGGCAATTCCCGTGCCTGGCCTGAGACCGAGGCCCTCCTCAGACCAGGGCTCTGTAGGCCAGGGCCCAGCTGGCCCTGGAGACAGGCTGCCTGTCCCCCGGGCCGCCTCTAAGCCCCTGCTCCCAGCGGGAACTGGCGCCTACCCTGAAGGGGCTCCGAGGAGTAGCGGCGAAGGCCATCATGCAGCACGAAGTACACGGCCGCGGTGGACAGCAGCACACAGGCGGTCACCTCCAGCCCCGGGCTCTGGTAGAACACCACTGAGGACCACATGAGGTGCTTCAGCTCCTCATTTTCCACCTGGACACAGAGGGGCAGGCTGGGCCCTGCAGCAGAGTGGGGCACGCATCCTCTCTTCTAGGTAGGGCCTGGAAACAGGCCTCTGGGCAGGGCACCCCCAGCAGCCCACCGCCCTGGGGACCTGAAGCCACGTGTGGAAGGTAGAAACCCACTGGTGAAGCTGCCCTTCCCCCAAAACAGTACGAAACACAGTGGCCACTCACCCGTCAGCCGGAAATACTGGTCAAAAAGCCCCACGTTGACTGCCTGCAGCTCACTGAGCTTTAAAACAAAGCACTGGGAGATGTAGAAGGGGCTGTTGTTATAGTCAGTGTTTTTCTGATGCCAGAAATCTGTGGTGGAGGAAGACGCTGAGTGTGGTGGGGGCCGCACCAGGCCAGCATGAAGGCCCAAGTGTGCGGCTAGGCGGGAAGGGGGCCCTTGACCGGCTGGATTGCTGAGGTCTGGTGAGGAGCTACCAGTGCCCCCGTGCACACAAAGTCCCCCAGGTGCCTGCTACAGGCCACCGGCTAAAGCTCCCGGAGACCCCACCGGCAGAGGGGCCCAGTCCTCACATCAGGGGCAATTCCCGTGCCTGGCCTGAGACCGAGGCCCTCCTCAGACCAGGGCTCTGTAGGCCAGGGCCCAGCTGGCCCTGGAGACAGGCTGCCTGTCCCCCGGGCCGCCTCTAAGCCCCTGCTCCCAGCGGGAACTGGCGCCTACCCTGAAGGGGCTCCGAGGAGTAGCGGCGAAGGCCATCATGCAGCACGAAGTACACGGCCGCGGTGGACAGCAGCACACAGGCGGTCACCTCCAGCCCCGGGCTCTGGTAGAACACCACTGAGGACCACATGAGGTGCTTCAGCTCCTCATTTTCCACCTGGACACAGAGGGGCAGGCTGGGCCCTGCAGCAGAGTGGGGCACGCATCCTCTCTTCTAGGTAGGGCCTGGAAACAGGCCTCTGGGCAGGGCACCCCCAGCAGCCCACCGCCCTGGGGACCTGCAAGTCCTGGTGACAAACCCACAGCCTCAGAGGGGGAAAAGCAGGACCTTCCTCACTTCTTGTCAATGAAACAGAGAAGCAAGGGGTGGGAGATGGCCAGGCGGTGGGGCCTGCCCAGGGACTGCAGGGGAGGTAGGGACAGAGAAGACAGTGGCCAGCCCAGGGCCTCCAAGCTGTGAACAGCTGCTGTGGGGAAAAGCCAGCACAGAGGAAGCCCCGAGCCCGAGGCCGCCCACAGGGCCATCGTGCTGCCTTCCTCCAGCCCGGGCGCTACCTCGGCAAGGCTGCTGTGGAAGAGCTTGAGGACGGCGCTCCCCTGCAGGCCGGCAATGTGCCGGAGGGATGGACACGTGGGCAGGTGCGAGGGGATCTGGTTCTCCTCCGAGGTGGCCTGGACCAGGCGTTCGCTTGGGTACTGGGCAGGCGCCTCTGCTGGGATCTCCTCTGGAGCTGGGGCCTCCTCTGCTGGAGCTGGCGCTGGAGTGGGAGTCGGGGTCTCTGCTGGGCCTGGAGCCTCTGCCGGGGCCTCCTGGGGACGGTGTTCACCGCTACATCTCCCAGGCCCCCAAGAAATACCATATGAGCATGTGGACCCCAAATGGAGATTCACGTTCCATGCCCACTCAGAGTGTGAGTGGGGAACAGGTACACTACGTGCCCCCTGAGGTCACCTGGAATTCATTACCAGGTTCCATGTGGGGAACAGCAGCAGAGAGGAAGTGCCCAGGCCCTTTCTCTTGGAAGGGAGATGGGCAGGTGGCAGCGAGACAGGCCGCCTGGCACCCCAGAGCTGCAGCAGCCAGACTCACATGGCCCATGGACAGAACTCATTCTGAGAGGGGGGCGGGTGTCAGAAATGCCACTCCGGAGTCCTCAGCACAGAACGCGCACCACGGCACCCATCTGGACTGCGCTGGGCTGCCCTTGTCCGGCCCTCACCCTGCAACTACTGGTCCCCCCTCTGTGTGCAGCCACATGGGGTTCTCATGGGTTAATTCCAAGCTAGGACCAAACAATGCTCAGAACCCTTAAAGCTAATCGAGGTTAGGGGCCTAGGCCTGTGCCCAAGCTCAGAGGCAGTCTTGGTCCAAACGTCCCCATGCAGTTTCCTACTGTCCTGGGGCAAAGATGTGTCTGCTAGGCTGCAGCCAGGCTTGGGGACACCAAGAAAATGGAGACAAGCTATCACCACTTGAAGCCTCAGCACAGGACAGGGGGCATGGGAAGATGGTCCTATAGGGCCACCTTGGACGCAAGCTGCTCTCCAACACCTGGAGGTCCCAAGGGTCTCTAAGAGGGCATGGTGCTTGAGCTGGGCAGGAGGGACACCCAATGCATCCAGGAAGAGCCCTTTGGGAGCATCAGCTGGGGGGCTGGGTTGGCAGAAGAAGGCAGGCCCCATGAGATGCTAGAGTAAAACAAGGTCTCCACACTGTCTACCAGGACAGAAAAGAAAGCGAGTTAGACCACATCTCAGGGGAAAGGAGGGCCTTCTTGTCCACATGAGAGAAGCCTCAGCATATGGGAAGCTGGCAGGCAGTGACAGAAGACGGGGCACCCAGAAGGCCCCAATAGAGCCCCAGAAGGGGGTGAGCTGTGGGTTGGCCATGCCCCCCAGGCCTCCACTACCCCCAGGCCCAGGCAGCCCTGAGGGAGTGGGGAGAGGGCCCCAGGGCAGCCAGGCGCAGGGGCCAGAAGCAGAGTGAGGGAGCACAGCAAGGGGCTGCCTGTGCCTTGGGGCCCCCAGCAGGGGCCTTGCATGAGGGGACCACCTGGCTCACAGCCAGCCAACAGCTCCTTGGGGAAGACTCACAAAACCACATGCAGAGGGGCAAAGGATGAGGCTTAGAGCTGGGTGTCAGACGAGGGTGGGATCTGAAGCAGTCCCCCAGCCCCCAGGGCCTGCCACAGACTGTGCCCCTAGGTGTGGCTGGCAGGGCCTCAAGGCGATCCTGGGCCCAGGGAAATGGAGAAGAGGGCCAGGCCTGGTGGGAGCAGACGCCCAGGGAACCAGCCATGTGGGACCCTAAGTGGCAGGGCTGGCTCTCTGGGCTTCCTCTGAAGCCACAGGGGATGTGATCAGCCCCACACCAGGCTTGAGGGACCAAGGCTCAGAGGTCTGGCGTCGGGTGAGTGGCCCCAGATGTGGCGCTGTGAGCTCCATGGACACGCACATACCAGTACCCTGGGAACCTGGGCTCCGTCTCACCTGGCACTGCCTGCTAGAGGCTGGCCTTCCAGGAGGGAGCTCTGGGACCTGCCCCCAGTGGCAGGAGTCTTGGCGATGACCACAGTCTTCAGGTCCTGCAGCGAGGCCCGCAGCTGGTTATAGACACGCAGGAAGTGGAACTTCTCATGGGGCAGCACGAAGATAGCAGTGACAAAGCGGTAGCCCACGAGCAGCTCAAGCACGTGGCCATCGGCGAAGGCGCCCCGCGGCTGGGTGCAGCTGCGCGTGGGGTCCAGCAGCACGGTGGACAGCGGCACACGACTGAGCTTGAAGCTGTTGCGGTTGCGACAGTTGTGGGTGCCGCGATTAGGCATGGGGTTGAAGTCGGCCTTTATGACGTTGAGGTGCTGGGGCGTGAGCAGCAGCCAGTAGGGGATGGCAGCGGACTTGACGGCTTCAGAGGGCGCACAGCAGGAGCGCCGCACGGCCGAGCAGAGTGTGCAGCTGGCCCACTCGATGTTGCCCGAGTAGTCGCCGGCAGCTGTCTGCACCATGCGCTTGTCGCTGTAGACCAGGTAGACGGGGAAGCAGCCCTGGCTGCATTCCTGGCAGCCACCTGCTACCTTGTAGAAGGTGAGCAGCTGGCGGAGGAACTCCTGCAGGCTGGTGTGGCTACCGTAGAGCACAGGGCTGCACAGCATGGCCATGTGCTGCGGGGCGAAGCACGAGCGCAGGTCGGCGTGGAACTCGTGCAGGCCGGCGGCGTCCGAGATGATGAACAGCGTGTTCTCGCTGTGCCGCACCTTGAGCACCAGACACAGCTCCGGCATGAGGAAGCCAAACTCGGTGAGGTCGCCATGCGGGAAGCAGAAGACGAAGCGCAGAGCTGCGAGGATGTGCTGGCTGCTGCCCCGTGATTCCTGGTGCGGGATCTCAAAGACGGCGATGCCGAAGTCGGTGAGCACGAGGCAGGCGGCAAACTGGCGTATGCTGCCCTGCACGTGGATCAGGAAGCACCAGAGCACCTTCAGGATGCGGATGTGCTCCCGCAGGAAGTCCTCGTCGGCGCCCAGCGCCCACTCAAGGGCCAGGCGCTCCTCCTCCTCCCCCTCGCCATCCCCCTCCTCCTCCTCCCCCCCCTCCTCCTCTTCCTCCACGTCTGGGGGGCCCATCTCGAAGTAGCGGTTCTCAGCAGCGTCTTCCTCCTCCTCCTCCTCCTCCTCCTCCCCCCCCCCTCGCCCTGGCCCTCCTCCCGCTGGTTGGCGGCCTCGATCCAGGCCGGCAGCTGCCGCTCGATGGCCTGCCGGATCAGTGTGCTCAGGCGCTGGATGAAGTCTTGGTTGGTGGCCGTGTAACCAATACAGGTGAAGGGCAGGAATATGATCTGGCCGGACCCGGGCACCACCTGGACCTCTGGCTCCGTGTGCTCCGGGCTGTGTGGGGAGATGCCAGGTCAGCGGCACGCTGGGCTGGGACACTCCTGCCTCCCACCTCCACTCTCCCAGCCACAGGCCTCCCAGGCCCCCAGCAGCCAAGCCTGTTCCCAGGACACGTGGCTGGCAGGGAACTGAGAAGCGGGAAGGCCAGGCCCCCCAGCTTCATGCGCCGACACTCCCAGGGCTCAGACCACAGGCCACCGGCACAGTCCTGCCCACACCGCAGGGGTCCCTCAGCAGAAGCACCATAAAACTCAGTTGTGCAGATGCTGGTCGTGAGCCCCAAAGGCAGTGCGTGCTTGGAGGCATGACATCACTTGTTGGCAACAGTTCCCTTCAAGGGCATCTCGTGGCCTTCAGGGTTCAGAGGGGATCGGAGAGTAAGCTAGGTGGGCCTTAGGCCCTTCACATTTACGCTCAAGCTCCTCTCGGTCGCTATGGTCCCCATGAAAAAAACCTATGTAGAACTAGGGCAAGGAAACTTTTTTAAGGGTCAGTGAGTGAGCATGTCTGGCTCTGGGACCCACCCGAGCCGCGTCATCTCTCCCACCAGCCTTTTAAGAATGAACAAATCTTTTTACTTCATGGGCTGCACAAAACAGGCCATGGACCAAACCAGCCTTGATCTGCTGACCCCTAGTATAGGACGTGTCAGGCAAAGTTTAGGGATGAGAATCTGGAAACAGACCAGATCCCATTTCATCTGTTTTATTTATTTAAAAGAAGAAACAGCCATGGAGGACTTCTGTGAACACATTTAACAAAATCCAGGTGGTCACCACTAGCTCACAGCTGAACGGGTGCAGATCTAGACACCTCCTGAACCTCTTCCTTACCTCGCACCGCCAACAGCTCCCGGCACATCCCTTAAATCATCAGGTGCCTGAAGAGAAGGAGATGTGGTCAGCGCCCATCTGCTGGAGCCGTGCCCTGGCTTCTGCCAGGTGCTGGGCACCTTTGCCCTCGTACTGCCCTATGAAGGCGCCTCACCGTCCCCATACTCTACTCTGGGTGGACTCCAGAGCCTGGGGGTGCAGAGAGACTTACCTGGTCATCCTGCCAGTGCACAGCAACCGAGACTCCCACTTTGTCTGACCCAAGTCCACACCCCCGCCCAGGGACAGAGCCTCTCGCCACTATACAGCTCAGCCTGTGCCTCCGGGTCTGGCAACCAAGTGGCCCCTGTGACACCCCATAGGGTCCACAGCGTCTATCAATTTGGGAGCTGGCCAGCAGAAGCCTTGCTGACCAGAGGCTGTGCAGTGCCTGGCAAGGTCTTCCAGTGGCCTCTGGGCACCAGGGCAACCAGGGCTGGGAACCCTTGCTGTGTAGCTCTGGGCAGAGAACTGGAACAGGGCGAGCACTGCAACCTGCTCCAGGGAGGCCTGGCCACAAAGGTGGGGGCCCAGGCTGCAGGCATGCTCCCCTCGCACACAGCAATGAGCCACTCACACACTTGCCTTTCTCCTCTCCCTCACAGGACACAGGAAGAAGCCCCAGCACCTCAGCAGCCAGCCACAGAGGAGGTGCCAGAATCATACTGTCTCCCAGACCAGCAGGATGACACGCAGGAATGGACGGAATGGCCCAGGTGTCAGGCAGCAGAAGAGACATTCTTTCTGATGGGTTTGGAACCCAAACAGCACCCCGCCACCAGCTGTCTTCCTCAGGGGTGTCCACTCACATGGGCTAAGGATGCTCTGGCTCTGCCCCCCAGGGCCCAGGGAGAGAAATGCCTGCTCCCGTGAGTCCATGGCAGGGTGGGGGGCATGAGGAAGGAGGGGCTGGCTGAACACAGAGCCTTAATCACACAGCAGAGCACACAGCGCTAGCAGCATCAGCCACGACTCCAGCCAGGCCACCTCCCACTTCCAACCAGCCTCCGGCAGAAGAGTCAGCTCACAGCATAGCCAATCGGCAGAAGCTGGCGGAGGGTTACCTGTCCTGCAGGGATGGACTCTAAGGAATCAGAGCATCCCGGGGTGATGGGCTGGTCGTCGGGAGGCAGACTGTCAGTGGATGAAAGGCTGCTGGCCAGGGCCTCCTCCTGCACGAACATGATTCCTGGAGAGACCGGGTGGGGCAGGGCAGGTGGGGTGGGGCAGGGAGAGCAGCTGTTCAACCACCAGGGCTGGACCCTGGGGCTCCCAGCACAGTGGGGCCTTGGCAGAACCCCAGACCGGCCACACAGACCACAAAAGAAAATGTGAAAACTGACATTTTAAAGTGAAGAACGATGATGGCTCATTAATCTCAGGACAGATTTTTCTCAGCCTAAACCCAAAGGAAGAAACTGAGAGGTGACCCTGAAACCTCAACTTCTTTAGGTAAAAAGAAAATAAAATGAAATGAGAAAAAGTACTTGCAATATTTGACAAAGGTTTACACCTTTAATCTATAGAAGATCCTCACAGGTGGAGGAGAAAGCTGGAATCCCACTGGGACGTTACAATGAACAGACCCCACACTCAGGAACAGCCGCTGAGAACACAGCAAACAGCGTGCACCCACAGGCAACCACACGGGGCGAGTCGGGGCAAGACACATCTTGGCTCTCAGTCTGGCCGTCAGACTGACTTGGTGGCCCAGCCTCAGCGTCTCTGGGCAGAGGTGGGCACTAGGGTATGAGCGGGCCTGCCTGCTGGGAGAGCGGTTGGCTGTATGTCCATCAAGATACTCAAACATCTTCACTCCTGGAGCCTCTTGCCGGGGAAATGACTAAACACAGCCACAAACCCCAACCTGACATCTCAGAGCTCCGCAGACCCGCACGGGCACAGGGCCCCTCACCTGGAAGGCCAAGCCTTTTTGCAGGCTCCATTTTCCTCTCGGGCTGGCAGGATACCTGTGCCCTGCCCCTGGGGCCTGCTTCCACAGGACACACCCCCACTGACCCTCCCACCCCGGGCCAGCTCTGGCAGACAGCACACTCTGACTCATGCACTGCAAATAGTGCTTTTAAACTTGCTGAGGCTGTTTTATGACAACAGCATGTCTGGGCCCATTACTTCACTCCAGAAAATCTTCTGGAGTTGTGGAGGGCAAAGACTTGTTAAAGACATTTTCCTAAATGCAGCTGGCTGGGCATCAAGCCCCAGTCCTGCAGAGGCCTGGAGGAGCCCAGGGCTCGCCTCCACAGCCTGGCTGTCCACCACTCAACAGGGTTCAGTGAAATGACAGAGCCCTCGGAGCTCACAGATCTCTGTCCAGCTCAGCTGCCACCCAGGACAGGATGTCAGTGCAGCCCAGGCCCTCTGCCCATGGGCAAGGCAGGCCAACCGCCCAAGTCCAGACACCCCAAAGCGAAGCAGCAGGGCCCTGCACAGGCAGGAAGGGTGGCAAGCAGAGCCCCATGGGAAGCTGCCACTGTCCTGCACCCGCCCCTCCCCATATGCTCAGGCCCTACTGCCCTCTTGAGACACCCCTCAAGCCACCTGCACCCAAGCCCTCCCTGCCCTGGACATACCGGGCCTGCCGCAAACACCCCCATACCACCTGTGCCCTGTGGTATGCTCTCCCCTGGGCACACAGCTCATCTTCCCAAGAGGCAACTGATTCCTCAGGGGCACCATCATGGCCACTGCGAAACCCCCAGGGAAGACGTGGGAAGGGGAAGCCCTCACCAACCACTTCTGATGAGCCAGGCGCAGTGCTAAGCACTTCCCCAAGTCAGCCCATGCACGTCTCTCGTATTTACCACAGTTCATCAAATCTAAGATGCGTGGATGTGGCGCCATCTTGGGATTAGCAGGTGTCCACGAGAAGGGTTTCACAGGACTCCATCACGAACACCAGCTGCCAACAGCGACTGAGATGCCACTGAGCGGGAGACGCATCTCAATTTTCAGAGAAGTCACAAGGTGGAAACGTGTGCATCTTAGAGTCGATGAAGCAGGGTGTGTCCGCTTTACAGTTGGGAAAACAGGGCCTGAGAGAGGCTACAAGTTGCTTAGGAGTACATGGCCCGGGAAGCTGGGATGCAGGCTCGGCTGACCAGCAACCATATGCTTGCTGCTAACCTCTTGTCTACCGCCTCCTCTCAGGCCCAGGCCTGGCTGCAGAATTAACTCTGGCATTTGGCACATCAGCTCCTACTGGTCACAGTCCTCCATGGCCCCAACAAGCTGGCTAAGAGCTCTTGAGGCAAGCAGAGGCCTGGTGCTCACTGGCCATCACCCACTCTGGGCAAGCCTCCCAAGAGCATTCACGCCCACAGATCAGGCTGGGAGCATAGCTGCTCCCCTATGGGAGAAACCCTTACCCATCCAGGCAAGGTCCAGCAGCACGCAGCTGAACAGACATCTGTGGATCCTTCCCCGTTAGTGGGGAAAAGCAACACTACCTTGCCACTGCCCGCCCAAGCCCTGTCTGCAGCTGTCGAAATGCAGATAGGGAATCTTTCTGCTTCCTTCCCGGACAAGCCTGTGGTCAGAAAGGGCCCCTCAGAGGATGTCACGGGAGACATTAGGAGAACACTTAGACCGGGCCCAACCTTGGTTTCTCACAAAAAGGAAAAACGTGCACACACAGACGTCCACTGCAGCTTTATTTAGGAGAGCGCACTACAGGCCAGCAGCCGGGAAGGGGGCAGACGACAGTGCGCCAGCCCATGGCCCCGGCCCTGCTGCTGCAGAGGCCTCCCCTCCACAGGGGCTGCTGCGGCTGTGGCTCTGGGCCGGCCCCCATCCCCGTCTCACCCACAGCCCGCTCTGCACTGGCTCCTGCCCTCCCGCCTGCTGACCCTCATCACTGGGCAGCTGGCACCCACTACTGTGCCCCTGGGAGCCCAGGCAGGAGGAGGGCTTGGGGGTGCTTCTTCAGGGACACAAACCCCTCCCTTCTTGTAAAAAAGTAAACACACTTTCTCAGTCCCAAGTGGTGTAAAAGCACCTAGCATCATGCCCCATCGTGGGACTCTTGGCATGCCTTGGGCTGTCACCGGCAGCCCCATGGGCTTCCTGACTTCACCCAAGCACGCTGCCCTTCATCCTGTCCCGTGTTCTTTCTGGTGTGGTGGCAGCACAGGATTTTGAAACACAGCTTAACCTCCCTCTTGCCCTGACTGGTGTCACATCCCATGTTTTCCTCGCACAAATAAGGTTGTGGTGAGCATTTTGCCTCCCCCTTCCCAGTTAACTTATCCTGCTAAGATAAAATTCCCATCAGCGGGGTTACCAGGTCAAGGGGTGGAAATGTTTTTGTGGCTCTTGAAACATAGGGTCAGACTCTTTTCCCAAGACCTCACACCAAGTTCTCGTCTCCAGGAGCCCGGGCTGGTGGCGCTCCTTCCTGTGTCCCGAGCCTCGGCTCCACTTGGGACGGCACTTCCTGGGGGCCGGGCACGCAGGCACTCTCAGGGGACCTGCTCCACTCACTCATCTCCGAGGGTGCCTGGGTTCAGAGGTGAAAGCCCTTTGAAAATGCTAAGGCAGTGGGTAGGTGGAAGGGATGGTCTTCCATGGGCCCACAGACAGCCCACCTCGGCCCACACACAAGTGTCTGGGGCTGGGTCACACCACAAGCCAATGATGAGCGATGGTAAGAGAACTCTACACACAAAGACCGGGCATTCGACTCAGGAAAAGGAACGAGGGGCCAATTGGCACCCCCCACCCCACCTGTCTCTGGGGTAGCAGGGCCCTCGGGCCATACCGCCAACCCTGTTTCAAATGGCATACTTGGGCCCCTATCAGACACCATACCCCAGAACTGGCTGTGGGTGTCAGAGCAATTGGGGGTCCTCACTAAGCAAACAAGAGCTGACTCAGGCCAGGCACCCCCCACCAGATGCCCCACCAAGAGGAACCAGCCTGTGGACAGCACCGGCCCTCTCTGTGTCTGAGCCCCTAGGGACCAGGTGCCAGCATCTCTCCTGGCCCAGCCAGGGGTCCCAGCAGGGCCTGTGAGGCTTAGCTCGTCACACACATGCCACTGATTACCTTGGTTGGAGAGGATGGGCTGGGGCAGGGAGGTTGAGGCAGGACCCCTGGTGGAGAGCGGGCTGCTGGGTCTGACGCAGGAGGCGGGTGCAGGCCAGGAGTCCTCGCTGATCTGAGGAGGAGCGTGTGAGTCAGCGAGAGCAGGGGCAGAGCAGAAGCAGACTGGACAGCTGGGGTGAGAAGGGGAACCCAGCAGTCCTCAGGACACCGGGGACGGGACAGGCTGCCTCGCCCAGCCTCAGCAACCCACGCAGCAGCTACTACCCCGTCCCGTCTTGCAGGGGAGATCACAGGGGGGCGTGGGGCCTGTCTACCCAGTCAGCGCCCTCCTCACCACCCCTCCCACTCCCAAGCAGACCCACCTTCCTCTCTAGGTTGTTCAGGTGGAACTTGACCTCCTTGGCTTTCTGAATTGCTTTTAGCACTTCCACTGTGTCCAGTTCCTTCCCTGAGGTCGCTATGTGGTCCAGACACACCTACAGCATCCAGAGAAAGACCATTAGCACAGGCCAGCGAGCATGGTGGAAGCATAACGGCAGGGACCCTGGTGAGGCGTGGGCCAGGCCCCATGAGGACAGAGAAGGCTGAGGGAGGCCCCTGCCATGCTCAGCCCCTGCCATGGGACAGGAACTCCTCACCACCCACAGCGTGACCAGGAAGCTCCCTGGAGTAGCCCAGGGACAACCCACACTGCCCAGTCCATCTCTGGAAGCCCCTTTCCAAGAAGTGGAGGCAGGGGTGCAGGGCCCACTGGGAAGGCCTCTTGGCTGACTGGGAATGGGGAAGGCAGTGACTTCACCAAGCCCCTTGTTACAGCGGAACACAGCCGCCAAGCACCAGGGGAGGCCTCTGGGGCGGGCAAGGGGAGCAGGCGGGAGGCTGTGCAGGCCACCAGGCAGTGAGCACCAGTGATAAAGGCAAATGAGGGACTGTCCCAAGGGCCTGTAGGGGCACTGCCACTGCACCGTGGGCCCAGGAGCCTCCCAACGTCTGGAGCTGGGGAGGGGAAGAGGTGACATCCTGTGAACACTGTTTTGGTGATAGCGTGGGGCAAGGAGCACTTTGGGGGAGGCACAGAGGGACATGGTGAGTGAAGGACAAAGACACTCTGGGTTACTCCTGGCCTGGGATTTGGGGAAGGTGGGGAACGGGCCTACTCCAGGCTGAGGCGACAGGTGACCTGGCTAAGAACTTGTTCAGCTTGTGTGGCAGCAGGGGGTCAGACCCCCTCAAGCAGGCAGCAGCCACCGGGCCAGGCTACACAGGCAAAAAGCAGGCAAATCCTTTAGGTTCACCATCAGACTTCATAGCCAGAAGTCGTCCAGGAACCAGGATTATTTTACTATCTTATTTCTGCCCCTTGCCTGTAATAACCGACGTTTCCTTTTAACAAGTTTTAGACAGTCTCTCCACATTCAGCCTGTACCTGTCGGTTTGGGGGGCAGCCCTGACAGGGGAGGAGCAGGAGGCTGAGGGGGCCTTCTCCTGGGGAGGCAGAGTGCTTCCCGGAACTGAAAGGCTCTGCAGGGCCAGCTGTCTACCAAAGCAGACAAGCATAAAACAGTGGCCATGCTGTCGGCCGGCACCAGCCCACAACCCCACCAGCAGCTTACCTCGGAGGCCCTGTCTCCAAACTGAGCCAGCACTTTAGTGCGGTAGTCAGGGATGATGCTCAGCGGGTTGTTCAGCAGAGCCACGTGCTCCAGACATGGGAGGCTGCCTATGCTCCTGACCTCCTCCATCTGCAAGGCACGGGGTCCATTCACCTCAGCACCACAACCTTTCACAGCCTCTTCTGGATGAGAGAGAGCTCACTTTTCCTCCTCCAGAACCCCTGGCCCTGTGGGGCACAGCTCACCTGCTCAATTCTGTTGTCACTGAGATCTAGGTTGACCAGGGAATAGAGCTTATGCAGGCCCCGCAGGTTCTGCAGCAGGTTGCCTGCCAGGTTCAGGGTCTTGATGTTCCCCAGTTTCGTGTGAACCCCTTCTAAGGAGGAGAGCTTGTTGTAGGACAGGTCCACATGCACGAGGTTGGACAGGTGCTGTGATGACATGAAGAACAGGGCAGGTGACTCAGTTCAAGGCTCCAAAGAAAGGGTGTGCTGGTCTCCCAACCTAAGATAACCAGTTCCGCAGGTCGGCACCCCTCCCTCCGACGGTTATGAGGGAGGGAAGCCCCTCTCGTCCCCTGCACACACCGCAGCCCAGCAGCACCCACAGAGGCGGCCTGAGCTCTGACACCAAGGTAGGCTGTCTACCATGTCCTCAGCATGCTCCGTTTGTATTTATTCATCTTTACTAGCTCTTTGCAACTAGAGATACAACCGCTCAGTGCTTCTCTGGGACCCTAAAGGGGTGGCAGTAAATGCCACCTGGGCAGCCCTCAGGAGCACAAATGCCTCCTGGGCACCTGTGAGGGGCTCCCAGGTACAGCCAACACCCATGACTGCACCGGCCTCCTGAGCTCAGGAGAATGGGACCTTGGGGGAAGCCTGCAGGTGGTCACAATCTCTAAAGACTTGAATTACCTGTAGGTTGTCCACAACCTGCACTCCATTGTGACTCAGGTCCAGGAACTCAATCTTTGGAATCAGTTTCTTGTGAAAGAAAAGACAATACCCAACATTACTCTAGGAGGCTGGACCCTATGTAGCCCCTGCACATGGTAGACAGACACCCGGGATGCCTTCTCCTGAACATGGACCCCCAGGGTGGGTATCTGCACAGAGCCACTGATGCGACAATGTCCCGGTGCCCAGACAGCACACGTCTGCAGGAACACACAAGGACTCCAGCGCTGAGCATGACCCACCACTTGGACAGAACACTTGGCTAGCAAAAGTGACACATGGCCAGGTCCCAGGGAAGGAAGCCAGTCATTCTGGAACCCTCCAAGCCACACCCACCCAGGAGCACTGGTACCAGGACACCTCCACTGCCCAAACACCATCAGGATGTCACTCTCACACAGGCACGTCTGAACCTACAGAGTGACATTTCCGCTCCACTCCCTGGGAGTAAATTTCATCACAGCCTGTGTTTCTATGAAGTTAACATGTTTCATTTGGTTCTATCACGTCACTATTTAAAATAACCCCACTTTGAAATTAACTTTAAATTGCAGGCAAGGCACAGAGGACTGGAAACAGACTTTCTGTGGTCCTTCTAGAAAAAGCCAAGTTAAATACCCAACTTGGGGTTTAGTCAGGCTGGAGAAGGCCCTGGCCCAGCTGCTGACAGCGTACCGCAGAGTCATCAATCTCCGAGATGCTGTTGTGGCTCAGGTCCAGGGTGGTCAGCGCCTGCCACGTGGGGATGACAGCAGCCACAGGGCCTTCCAGGGCTGTGCCTTCTGGCTCCCACTCATCCAGCTCCGAGGCTTCGGGAGCGAGGACTTCCTGTGTAAAAACATCTGTTGAGCACCACACTTGGGCCCCCTTGCAACACATGTTAGGAACACAATCATTGCAAAATCTCAGGAAGAGCTAAGCATATTTAGCATGTGGAAGTGACCTTTCATTAAGAGGGGGCTTTGGCTCATATGCTTTTAAATGATTGTGAAATAACTATAAAGCTCAGCAACATAACAGCCACTTGGAATATGCTGTGGCCTGGCTTCAGAAGCAAGTGCTCCTCAAGCCCACAACAGCCCTTTGCTACATGGCGGTGTCTTTTCTGGCTTAAATCTCAGAGGCTGAAGGTCAGAATTTGTGGTGTTTCCAGGCAACTGTGCGTTCCCAGCCGGCACCACGTTCCTTGCTGTGAGCAACAGGCCCTTTAGCAGCTGTTTCACAGAGCTACCGTGTGACGGTGCTGCCCCACAGGCGGGCCACAGCTTGGACACAGGTCACCATGCAAGGGGAACCAGGCGGGCCTCCTCATGATGAAGCCCACCTGACCTCACCTCTTGCAACCCACCATTCCTAGTTCCTTGAGCCAGGCAGCAGGTGTGTCAGAGAGGGGCTGGGTTCTGTGATGCTGCTCCTGTTTTGTTCCTTCAGTTTTTGCTTTGTTCTTATGCTCCACAGATGAGTGAAATCATTTGGTGCTTGTCTTTCTCTGCCTGGCTTATTTCACTGAGCAAAATACCCTCTAGCTCCATCCATGTCGTTGCAAACGGTAGGACTTGTTGTCTAACAAAGCTGCCCGTACCCTTGCTCTCCACTCAAACCTCCTCCTTTCAGGCAGCAGCCTCAAGAGAAAGACTTCACCAAATCTTAGTAAGACACTGTATATGATCGAAGTTAACCAAAAAACTTTGTTTTTTCTAGACCTGCATATAGATTTTAAGATGCAACCATAAAAAAGTGAATAGAAACCTCTTACATTCTCAGTTCGAGTTATTTCTGTTGCTCAGATACAAACAGTGCCCAGCATATCCACAACCTCACCTGTCTTCTGTACATCCACAAGAACAGATACATACAAGTGCTCAGACAGGGCCTTTTAGGCTTACAGAAACATATGTAGCTAATAAATGTTCTGCTACCTGCCACTTCTCAACAGTTTGTTCATCAAAAAAACAGTGACTTTTTGGCGGGTTTGGGAGTAGTTCCTTAAAGTACCTTATTTAACAGTGTTAATTTTTGACGAAGACACGGACCGAAGCATCCCAGGGCCTGCTGAGTGCTGGGTGGCTGCAGGGGCACAAGTTACCCAGGAGAGGGTCCCATGGTGCTTTCTGACACACGGCAGCAGTGCTCACGACCGCCCTCAGCGCAGGGGCCACAGTGCAGGACCCTGCCCCTCCATCAGGGCTCCAGACGAGAAGCAGGCAGAGCTCACCTTCATGGAGGTTGCTGAGAAGCGGACGCTCATCGTGGCTAAGGTGGGTTTCGATGCAACCAGACCCCGGATGTGCTTGGCATCACAGCGACTTATCTGGAACAAGGAACAGCCGGGTCAGAAACGACGGTGCTGCTCCCGCAGAAGTCCTGGGAGGCAGATCACCCACACAGACGGAGCACAGCCATCAGTGGACCCAAAGCCTTAGAATCCTTAGAGGCGGGAGGCAAATGAACCCTAAGTCTCTCTTTTTCCCAATTTTTAGTGCTAACCAAGCATTCTCTGAAGCATCTAGGAAGACTCACAGTGAACCATGAACTCCACTTCCTCTGTAAGGGCTGCCCTGCCTACACTCCAGGGGCCTGGGCCTTACCTCCACCTGACAGAGAGACTTAAATATTGCCAGATCAAATGGCAAGAGCTGCTCCTGAATGTTGCTGGTCCCAAAAGGTCCTTCTGTGCCAGAAACCTGCAGCCGAAGATAGGGCGTGGATCAGTGATGCCGTGACTGCCCTGCCCACCTTCCTGGGCAGTGCTGAGGCCCAGACACCCCACTCATCACCTTTCCAGCCCACAAAGCAGCCTAATGCTGGTTGAAGCAACAGGACACTGTTTCACAACTGCCCCCTGGTGCTCACAGCCAGAAAGACAGTGCCAAGAACACCAACGGGTGACCACTGGTCCCCATGGCCCAGCCTTCTTTACACACTGGCAGCCAATGAGCTATCAGGCCACTCGCCCACCACTGAACAGCTCTCCACAACCAAGATGCCATGATTTACCTTAAGGTACTTAAGGCGACAGGTGAAGTCCAGGATGTGCCCGAGGTCAGTCTTGGCATCCCCACTGGCACATGTGGGTTTTCCCTGCTGCAGCTGCTCAGTGACTGCATAGAGCTGCAGGGGTCCAATGGCAAAGACCTCACCAGCCACCAGGAGCTGTTCTCCTGCAACAGCCATGCCCGCAGGGTGAGCATTCAACCCCAGCCCTGTCCCCACTGTGTGGGCCAGGGCATCTGTCCACCTGGTCAACAGTTAACAAGCATCTGGCAAACATGCATGACACACGCTGCTCCGCATAAGGAGAAGCCACGACCCCAAGCCTGCAGGAGAAGCTGCCCTACTGGGACCATACCAGGCACAGGCCAGACCCAGGACACACGATTCCAAAGGAGGGAAGGGTCATGGGAACGTGTGTCCAGGGAGCCTCCCCGAGGTGAGGATGAGCCAAAATCTGAGGCCCTGAGCTGGGACAAAGCTGGTATAAGGCAGCATTGTGGGCAATGGGCCCATGCTGCATCCTCCAAGATACAGACAGCTTGAGGTCAATCCGGGGGAGGCCTGAGATGCCAGCATGGCGCAGGGCTGAGAGCAGGCGCAGGTTCTGAGCCAGACAGACTCACTGGCATTTGGGGCCCTTGCCCTGCTCCTTCCAGACACCCTCCCTCCAGCAGGTCCCTGGGCCTCTCATCCTCAGCTCTGCCTCCCAGGGGAGGTGGTAAGATGCCAGGCTCAGCCACAAGAAGCTTGCACTACGTGTCAGCTGTGGGTACACTGCTCTCTGGCAGGGCCACAACCCAAGTTTTGTTTTACACCTGAACTCTATGGGGTAAGGACAAGCCACATACAAGAGGGTCCCACGCCACCCACTTGCTAGAACTCCACCATAGGGCTCTGGACTGAATCCCGAGCCTGGGATTAGCCCCACTACAGGGACTCAAGAGTCCTAAGGTGAAGGACTCCTCAACCTGGCTGTCTGCAGGCAGAGGGCAGGCTTGGCTAGACCATGTCAAGGGACTTGGGGGACCCCCTGCTCAGATTCCCTTGGCACAGCCCAACAAATGGCACCCCTGGCCAGCCAACAGGGCTGGGAAGGTTGCACCCAGTATTGTGGGGACCCCGGCCATGTACCTCTTTCAAAGAGCTCCTCAGCCAGTGCCGCAGTGATGCCATTGACCTCCTACAGGGAAAACAAACCCACAGTTTAGAAAGTCCCCTACCCACAGTCACCAGCCACACGTTCCCTGCTATCTACCCCTCTGCTGTTCCAATAGTACTCTCCAGAAAGGTAACAAAATAAAGGGAAAAATAAATCTACAGTGAATCAAGGTGCTTAGAAAGGGGAACTAAGTATTTCCAGTTATGTGGACATCTGAAATGTCTCCTCTGAGAACAGAACGCAGACGGTCGCTGTGATCCAGGCGCACACAGGCACCGGCGGGAGCACCAGGCCCAGGAGGCAGACAAAGCCCGGCTCCATCCAGGAATAGCTGAGAAGCCAGCAGCTCCCAAAACTGGCCCCAGAAGGTGCCAGGAGAGGGCGTAATAAAGGAAGTCCTGTTTCTTCCAGAAAAGAGGCCTGCATCACCCTGGTGGGCTGAAGGATCCCCTATAGCCCAGCCTTCCTGAGAGACCGTTTCTGCCTTCTTTCATGTTCTGAAGGGGTCTAGGAAACGAATAAGCACTGGTTCTCTTCCTGTGCTCATCCCTTCAAGCTCTGCAAAGTATAGTTCAACCCCAGGGCCATGAGAAAGAGGCCAGAGAGGTTTTCCTTTTAGAATGGTGTGATGCAGGCATTTGGAGGGGAAGCCTCTGGCACTTAACTGCCAGCCTGATGGGCTCTGATTCACGCTGGGCACAGGCTAAGCACTTGCTATGCACAGGCTCACTCAATCCTTCTAGTACCCTGCACCAGGAAGACACTATTTTGAATCCTGTTTCACAGCTGAGCAAACTGAGGTGGAGAGGTGCTGACCCCCCATGCTGCCTGGCTAGAACGAGTCACACTCAAGCACCTGGCCTTGCAGCCTCTATCTGTACACACCAATTGCCTCAGCACTTCAGTACCTAATGGTAGGGCTGGCAGGTAAATATGTTAATTGACAGATAGCCACTAAAAGGACTTTCATAAACAGGTCCAGATGGAGACTGCAAATTGCCTTCCTAACTCACAGGAATGTCTCTACCACCAGAACATGAAACTCACATGTTTATGGGACTTGACAGGCACCAGGCTGCAGGAGACAGGGTGTTCTTTTCCTGTTTTTCTCTTTGGTTTGTTTGTCCCTTTCTTATCTCTTATACATAACAGATATTTTACAGGTTGTTTATATGCTGCAAACATCTTCTCCCTGTCTGTGTTGCCTTTTACCCGTTGACAGCGATTTTCCTGACATAGAGGTTTTCATTTTCACATTGTTTAATCTGTGGTTCCTTTCCTTTGTGAATTCTGGGGCCCCTTCCCCTACCCAAAGATTACAAAATGATTCTAATTCTTCCTTTCATACTTTGTTAACTTTTAAAAATGTATTTCTTTAATCTACTTGATATTCAGTTTACATATAATTTGAGAGTAACTCCCCCTCCACCCCACAAATGAACAAAAAGCCAAAGGGAGAAAAATGAGCAAAGAGCCTCAGCACTAAGGGGGCTCACAGTCTGGAAGATGCAGGGTCAGACATCAAAGGGCCATCAGAGAGATAAAGTGGGCTCTGACAGGAGGGGACTCCAGCTGGCAAGATGCGGGGTTATCAGTTCACTCTGAAGTTCAACCTCAGTCTCCTGCAACAACTTAGACTCAACTATATCTTCCTCAGCTGTTGTGAAGAGTTGATACTAGGAAGAGCCTGGAACGATCCGAAGGGCTTGCTTCTGGTATTTGGAGACCAAGCCCGGTCTTCAAATCAGCACTTCTGCAACCTCCCCACAGTCGGCATCACTGGAGAGCCTTGAAAGGCACAGTTGCGAGCGGCTCCCAGAGGCCGCAACCCATGCCCACCAGTCCTGAGAGCAGCTCCTGGGCTTCTGCAGCCCCATGCTACAGACCCTGGAGCTAGCTCCTGGAAGGGCTCCCTGCCCACCATCAGTACTCAACAGCCCTCACCCTCAAAGCTCCATTTCTCAGGGCAGCTGGTGTCAATGCCAGCCAGCCTTGCTAAGGGGACAGGGTTGGAATTTCCAGAGAACGCCTAAAGTTGAGAGAGAGTACAAGCCAGCAGAGAGCAGTTATTCACTTGAGCAATCTAAAGAGCCAACCATGTAACGCCCTCTCTCCTCTTTGGGGAACAGGAAGTGCCCCTGCTGCAACACCATCTACTTAGTTTCCAGGCTGATGCTCACCTTGCAAAACTCTTAATCAGAGAGGAACAAAGAAATGCCTCAGGCCCCAAATCTAGAGCATCAGCCTCCTCACAAAAGCATTCTGTCTGCCAGCTCAGAGTGTTCTGGCTAAATGGCAACCTTGGGTGCAGGTGAACAGTCAGGCCTCTCCGCCAGGATCCGGGGCACACTGGCGGCCCCAGTCTGTGCTGCTGCAGGTTCTGTGGGGTCAGGCGACTCCCACACCCCCTTCCTAATCTGTGAAGGGACTTGGAGCGCCACAGGTGTCTGAATTGGAATGCACTGTACAAAGAAAAGAAATTCTTTATACCTCAAAAAATGTTCAATTAAAAAACAACCAAAAGCTATGTTTAAAAACTAATACCCACCCCAAATGAGTTACAGGCCAGCCGGCCTCCTGCCAGTGTGGGTATGGGGCCTGAGGCAGTGTGAGAGCTGCACATAAATACGCCATGGGCTGGCCAGTCAGGCTCTAGCTTGGCCACCAACACTCCAACGGAGCCCGTCTGTGCACGTGGACCCCTGCAACCAAGGGCTTCTCACAACGCATGCGCCTGCGCTCAATGAATACCCCAGGCCAGCCCCCATGCTTCCGACCAGCACACGCTCAAGCAGAGTGCTTGCTGGGGGCCGTCACAGGCTCCACTGCAGGTCTCTGCAATCACATGCACACCTGTGATGAGGAATTCCAGCAGGGGTCGGGTATACTGTGTTATGAGTGGACCTGAAGTTAAATTCCCCACTGAGGCACCAAGATGGGAAGAAAGCTGCAAAAAATCTGTCATCTTGCAGCCTTGCTACTTTGCAACCAAAACAAATGGCAGAAGCGGATGCTAAAGCTGAGTTCAGATGATGACAGTTCTACCATATCTCCTGATTTCAAAAAGCATCTTTGTTCCAGTCAATTGGCTTTAAAATATAAAAATTGATATCAATGTCACTTTGGATGACATGGGAGTGCCTTTCCAACATCTGGGGAGCGCCTGCATAGCCCCTTTCCTTCCTGCAGTTTCCTGCCATCCTCAAGGGCCTAAGGCCGTCACCCTCCAGCTCCAGGAGGAGGAGCTGGGCCACAGAGAAGTTAAAGGACTTGGAATAAACTGTTGGGAGCAGCAAGTCCTGCCCCTCGAGTCCACTGTTAGGCATCCTGCCTAAAACGGTGTGCTGGAATTCTCTGTGGGAGTCCACATCACTGAATTTGAAAACCTCTGCTCTAGGGGTTCTGGGGAGAGATTTGTCACTGAGGGTCCAGGCGTATCAGAGCACAGCTACCTGGAGAGAGACAGCACCAGGCCCAGTGCTGAGGTGTACCCCCTTTCACTGCAACACAGGCCTGCACCTGCTCCCAGACTTCCCATCTCAGAGCTGGCTGGGGAGAGAAACCTTGCTTTCTTTTCTTGCCATGGAAATGCCATTTTTTCCACACAAAAGTTGGAGTCCTACCTCACACTATACAAACACTAGCTCAAAACAGTCGAAAAACCTAAATATAACAGCTGTAACTGTAAAACTCTTACAAGAAAACCTAACTGTAAATCTTTGTGACCTTGGATTACGCAATAGTTTCTTACCTGTGACACCAAGAACACAACCAACCAAAGTAAAAAATTGATAAACTGAACTTCATCAACATCTACAACTTTTGTTTCAAAGGACACTGTCAAGAAAGTGAAAAGAAAATCTGCACAACAGGAAAAAATATTTTCATTTCACATTTCTGATAAGGGTCTAATATCCAGAGTACATTTAAAAACTCCAACTAAACAACAAAAACACAAGTAACGTAATTCTCAAAATGCAAAGGATTTGAATATATTTCTCCAAAGATATGCAAATAACCAGTAAGCACATGAAAACCAGCTTAGTATCATTAACCTTCATGGAAATTCAAACCACTCACACCCACTGGGTGGACTATCAAAAGTGGGCAGTAACAAGTACTGACAAAAATGTGGGGAGAGGAGGATCATGGGGAGAGGAGGATCATGGGAAGATGGCAGCGTGAGTAGTTCAGAGGAAATCTCCTCCCCAAAACATATACATTTATGAAAATACAATAAATACAACTATTCCTAAAGAGACACCAGTGGATACAGTACAACAGCCAGGATACATCTACATCTGTGAGAACTCAACATCACATGAAGGGGGTTAAGATACAAGCCGCATCCAGGCAGGACCCGAACACTCCCCAACCCCAGAACCCGGCGGGAAGAAAGGAGTCGGAACGGGGAGGGAGTGAAAGCCCCGGACTGCTAAACAACCAGCTCTATAAGTCTGCATGTGGAGTGCAGACACAAGGTGCATGGGGTGCTGGATATTAGAGAAACAGAAAAGCAAAACCTGTGGGCAGGTCCCTGCAACGGGCGCCCCTGAGACAAAAGAAAAGCGAGTGCTTTCTGCAAGTCTTAAAGAGAAAGGGACCCCATAGCTGGATGAAGTCGTCCTGGCACACATAGCCAGCAGCTGGGAATCCTGGGGAACCTTAGGCACCCTAAACCCTGGGGAGGAAGCATGGCTCTGAAGACCCTCATGGCACTAAGCAGCCTGCCAGTTGTTCCTCTAACTGGTGCGGACACCGACACACAGGCCCAGTAGCGGGAGAGTGGCAGCGCGTGCCGGGGGCAGCGGCGCTGGAAGGGACCAGGAACAGATCGCGTGCACCAACGGTGCCAGAGGGGACCGAGAGAGGCTTCTGCGAGCCCACAGCAGCAGCAACCGAACAGCCTGGGTGCAGCTTGTGTGCACCGGCGGCAGTGGAGCCAGAGGAGCCTGGTAGAGGCCCGCGCGGGAGAGGCCCACACGCACCTGCAGCGGAGACAGAGGAAGCAGGCGCGCTCC